TTCTGAACGCTTTGGAAGTTGAAGGGACTTCCGGAACGGATTCTGTTTGACTTCCAAGGTGCGACTTCAAAGAATTCAGACAGGTGCTAGGTAATAATTTCTGGGAGTGCAAGGTTTTTGTAACTACTATCTGAAATGGAAGAAAATTGGAGAGAAGGAAGCGAACATGGCTGGTCTTTCGGCAAAGTTGATGGGGAGACCCCCTCTCCTAAATCCCGATAGAATGGCTGCAGTTGGTGTTTCAGTAGAGGCAATGGAGAAGACTTGCAGTACCATCTCCCTCCCTCTCCTGTAGCCTGATGGTGCTTTTTCCTGTCTGGCAACACCCCCCATTAAAGAAGGTGTGAATAGGACCCCCCTTAGATTTCCTTTTTCTTTTGCTGAGTAACAGTGTGCTTCCATGTTTCTTTTGTAGATCCCTTTTATCCCCTCCAAAGGTGCCATTCTCGCTGGCCCTACCATTGACAGGCAGGCCATGAGTTACTTTTGGGTTGACAGCAAACAGGTGTTTTTGGTTGGGGCTGGGCAACCCTTTTCTGCCTGAAGGTTGCCCTCCTTGTGAGGGCCACATGCCAGTTGGAGGTGGTAAAATGGGGCCCCTGACCATTAGGTCCAGTCGTGGCCGACTCTGGGGTTGTGGCGCTCATCTCGCTTTATTGGCCAAGGGAGCCGGCGTACAGCTTCCGGGTCATGTGGGTATGACTAAGCCGCTTCTGGCGAACCAGAGCAGCGCACGGAAACGCTGTTTACCTTCCCGCTGGAGCGGTACCTATTTATCTACTTGCACTTTGACATACTTTCGAACTGCTAGGAGGGCAGGAGCAGGGACCGAGCAACGGGAGCTCACCCCGTCGTGGGGATTTGAACCGCCGACCTTCTGATCGGCAAGTCCTAGACTCAGTGGTTTAACCCACAGCGCCACCCGCGTCCCTAGTTGGAGGTGGAGTCAGAAGCAAATGTGGGCAGTACAATTAATATAGATGTTAGCTTCTGGATGACCCCCTAGGGCTGGGTGATATCTGGTTTTCAACACTGTCATATATCAGCAGCTAAACATTGTGATATACTGATATATCACTATGTCTGAAATAAGAATGGAGATGAGGTATTGGCTGGCTTCCTGGTTTTATCCACATTGTGATTTTTGCATAGCAAACACACACACACACCCCTTCTCAGTAGTGGCGCCCGCCCTGTGGAACGCCCTCCCATCAGATGTCAAGGAAATAAACAACTATCTGACTGTTAGAAGACATCTGACGATAGCCCTGTTTAGGAAAGTTTTTAATGTTTTATCTCTTTATGATTATTTTTAATATTCTGTTGGGAGCTGCCCAGAGTGGCTGGGGAAACCCAGCCAAATGGGTGGGGTATAAATAAATCATCATCACACACACTTCATGATTCACAATATATTGCCAGATCAAAAATCATGAAACTGATATCGTAACATGGACTTCAAACCAGTTTTGGATGATATATAGCCCAGTCCTAACACACTTAATGATTCACATTATATTGCCATATCAAAAATCATGAAATATATGGACAATATACAGTGGTGCCCCGCAAGACGAATGCCTCGCAAGACGGAAAACCTGCTAGACGAAAGGGTTTTCCGTTTTGGAGGTGCTTCGCAAAACGAATTTCCTATGGGCTTGCTTCACAAGACGAAAATGTCTTGCGAGTTCCTGCAGGGTTTTTTCCCTCCCCCCCTTTTTCCCAAGCCGCTAAGCCGCTTATCAGCTGATCCGCTAAGCCGCTAATCAGCTGATCCGCTAAGCCGCTAATCAGCTGATCCGCTAAGCCCGCTAAGCCGCTAATAGCGCTAAGCCGCTAATGGGCTTGCTTTGCAAGACGAAAAAACCGCAAGATGAAGAGACTCGCGGAACAGATTCTTTTCATCTTGCGAGGCACCACTGTATAGCCCAGCCCTAGTGACCTCTGATCAATGCTTTTCTGAAGGCTGCATTACTGCCAGTCGAGAAGCAGGAGGTGCAAATACAGTGGTACCTCGGGTTAAGTACTTAATTGTTCCGGAGGTCCATTCTTAACCTGAAACTGTTCTTAACCTGAAGCACCACTTTAGCTAATGGGGCCTCCTGCTGCACCGCCGGAGCACGATTTCTGTTCTCATCCTGAAGCAAAGTTCTTAACCCGAGGTACTATTTCTGAGTTAGCGGAGTCTGTAACCTGAAGCGTATGTAACCTGAAGTGTATGTAACCCGAGGTACCACTGTAAAGAGGGATGCGCAGTAGTGTGAACTGGGATAGTGACCGCCATGGAGTACTGGTTTACATGGTTGCCACAATGGACTAAATCATGCTTAAATGGCCAGTCATAGACCTGCTGACTTGGTACTAAGCAGTGGTGTACTTGGGCTCTCAAATTTAAGTGGCGCCCTGTCCAACGCTAAAACTCAGTGTCTCCCCCACCTCTTGTGATGCTTTCTACATCATTGTTGCGATGCCGGTGCCCAGTGCGGCTGAACAAGTTGCACTTTCATAAAACCACCTCTGCACTAAGCCACACTGGGGCATTTACTTACAGGAAAGTGAGTATGCAATTGCAGCCAAGCTAGGTGTGTGATTGGGACCCATAGAGGTATTAAGAGGATTTCTAGGTTTATGCTGTAATTGTCTTCGTGTTTGCATTGTAATCTGTGTTGACCAGTGTTTGCTTAAATAAAACTGAATTCATTGCCTCCGAGTACTGGCAAGATCCTCTGTTGTCCTTTTATTGCATTCAGATCTTGCAAAAACCATGTCACAAATATCACAAGGGACAAGGATGGCATCCATCATTGCAGACAAGAGTCTTAATGCCTGTCTTGCTCTCTGCCTTCCAGGAATCTTTCCTCAAACCATAACCTACAAAACTGGAAGTAGACTGAAGCAGGGCAGGAACACGTGATCTGAGACTTGGGAGTGTGCCCTGAAAGATGATTATTGGCTGTGAGAGTATGTGATTGCTTTTAGTTTTTCATAATTTTTCCGTTCTAATTGTAGTGTTTTAGCAAGGAAGTCTTTGCCTACCTGGGCTCCTTTGGGAGGGAAGTTAGAAAGGTAATCCTATCACACTTCAAAACGACCTTGACAGATTAGAGAACTGGGCCAAAACAAACAAGATGAATTTTAACAGGGAGAAATGTAAAGTATTGCACTTGGGCAAAAAAAATGAGAGGCACAAATACAAGATGGGGGACACCTGGCTTGAGAGCAGTACATGTGAAAAGGATCTAGGAGTCTTGGTTGACCACAAACTTGACATGAGCCAACAGTGTGACGCGGCAGCTAAAAAAGCCAATGCAATTCTGGGCCTCATCAATAGGAGTATAGCATCTAGATCAAGGGAAGTAATAGTGCCACTGTATTCTGCTCTGGTCAGACCTCACCTGGAGTACTGTGTCCAGTTCTGGGCACCACAGTTCAAGAAGGACACTGACAAACTGGAACGTGTCCAGAGGAGGGCAACCAAAATGGTCAAAAGCCTGGAAATGATGCCTTATGAGGAACGGCTAAGGGAGCTGGGCATGTTTAGCCTGGAGAAGAGGAGGTTAAGGGGTGATATGATAGCCATGTTCAAATATATAAAAGGATGTCACATAGAGGAGGGAGAAAGGCTGTTTTCTGCTGCTCCAGAGAAGCGGACACGGAGCAATGGATCCAAACTACAAGAAAGAAGATTCCACCTAAACATTAGGAAGAACTTCCTGACAGTAAGAGCTGTTCGACAGTGGAATTTGCTGCCAAGGAGTGTGGTGGAGTCTCCTTCTTTGGAGGTCTTTAAGCAGAGGCTTGACAACCATATGTCAGGAGTGCTCTGATGGTGTTTCCTGCTTGGCAGGGGGTTGGACTCGATGGCCCTTGTGGTCTCTTCCAACTCTATGATTCTATGATTCTATGATACATGTTTTGATATATGCTGGAAGCTGCCCAGGGTGGCTGGGGCAACTCATTCAGATGGGCGGGGGTGCAATAAATAAATTATTATTACGGTTGTACCTTGGAGGCCAAACGCCTTGCAAGTCGAACGTTTTGGCTCCCGAATGACCGGTTCCATTTTTTTTAATGGTTTTTTTTGGAAGCCCAACGTCCGATGTGGCTTCCAGTTGGCTGCAGGAGCTTCCTGCAACCAATTGGAAGCCACACTTTGGTTTCCAAATGTTTTGGAAGTGGAAAGGACTTCCGGAACAGATTCCATTTGACTTCCAAGGTACAACATTATTATTATTATTATTATTCCTCGTCATCCCTGCAAGGATGAAGACGGCAGGTCAGGATTGGATCATTCATAATATGCAACCTGGGGATTTCCGCGCTGTAGTGATCAGGTGGGATTGCTATGAGGAATTATAAAAAATATGGAGCAAGCCATTTGTGTCAGCAATTAAAGCATTGCGTTGACTGGGTTTGAGCCATTTTGATATGATTTCTGATCAATTCACGCCTCTGCATCTATGTCCCATTTCTCTTGTTTGACAAGTCACGTACACAGACCAGTTGCCAGTTGTTCATGAGGCATCCTGGGTCATAAAGATAGTAGGTTTCTTTGATGTAGCTATTGCTAGTTTTGTTAATCTTAAGGCCAGGAAGAGAGTTCACAAGGAGATGGTAAATACTCTTTCCTTGCCTGTTTATGACCTCCGGGGTTTTGCTAAATGCATTCATCCTTTTTTAGTCCTGTTTTATTTACCCCAGAATGTATGCATGCTTACATTAGCTTTTTGTAGTTTTAACTTTAACTTTGTCCCCACGTGGGGTTTTTTGAAACGCTCAGAGGAAATCTGATTGGTTCTTACGAACACTGTGTAAAAAGTTCTTTGTGAATAAAACGACCTGGGCCGGGGGGGGGGAGGAGGGAATTATTATTGGCACTCCTCACAGAGTCTTGCTGGTCAAGCCTCGTGTGTATTTTATTAATCAGGGTCCAATCCTTCCTTTGCTTTGGGAATGCTACAGTGTGTACGCACGCACGCACGTGCGCGCACACACACACACACAGTGGAACGGCTGGAATGATATGTATTTTATTAGCACAGGCATTTTGAAACAAGGTGATTGGAAGCAGCAACAGAAAACACAGAAAGGTATCGGCACCTTACACAGATAACAATTCCAAACATAAATGCTCACTCTATGCACAGCAACTAACCTCCCCACCAGTCTCCAGCCCAGAACTCCAAACATGAATGAGAAGACAATTTACACTCTCAAGACCTAGTAAATACAGGGGGAACTATGCCTCATTGCTAGGGAATCTATTTGTGCTCATCAAGTGCTCTACTATCAGTGCTCATGGGTGGGCGGTCCAGGGGCCACAGCAGACAGGACAGCATCCATCTTTTTTTCAATCCGTTGCAGCGCCTCCAGCATCTCGTCCTTCCATTTTCCTGTCTCGTTCTTTAATGCCTCTGTCTCGTTCTTCAGCTTCTCAATTTCTCCACCTGTTTTTATTATAAAAAACGAGAATAGGAATGACATTTTATTGCTAAAGGGTACCAAGGTGGGAGGTATTGCAACGGGGAACTATGTTGTGAGGAATGCAGTCAGTTCTGTCCCACCCAAGTTATGACTCGGTGGCGCATGGGAATTTAAGGCTGCATACATGCACCACAGCTTTAAATGTAAGGTATGCACACAGATTTAATTCCAGCCCGTGGTGAGTCTGCCGCAGTAATGTAGGACGCTAGGAAAAACTGGAAATACACTAATATTGATTGAATTTTGAAATAGATTTCCTTGCGTGCTGCAGATCAGCCTGATGTTATATCCATACAGTACTTTCTGAACCCAATTTGTTTAAACAAACTTTTCCCGATGGATGGAAAGTTCATTCTGCCTTAAATACACATTTTGCATTGTTTTGAAAACACTCTCTGCTAAAAAACCAAAAAACCAAAAAACCACTCTGCTGGGGGTAGGGATTGCTCTGTTTATTTTTTCCCCTTCCCTGAGCGGTTATAATGCTGCAAATCAGCATTGAGATGTGCCATTGTTTTATTTTATTTATAGACTGCTATTTCCTAAAGATAGCAAAGAAGTTTACGGAAAAAATACATAAAACCATAAGCTAAAAACGTGTGTTTAAAAGACATTGATTAACAGTTCCTGCAGGTGTTTAAAAGTTGGAAAAGAAGGTGCCTGCTGGATCTCTGTTGGCAGAATTTTGCACAATACTGGACTAATTACACTAAATAATAAGAAAAACAATTTACTTATATCCCGCCCATTTGGTTGGGTTGCCCCAGCCACTCTGGGCAGCTCCCAAGAGAATATTAAAACACGATAAAACATGAAACATTAAAAACTTCCCTAAACGGGGCTGCCTTCAGATGTCTTCTAGAAGTCAGAGTCACTTATCTCCTTGACATCTGATGGGAGGGCGTTCCACAGAAAGGGTGCCACCACCGAGAAGGCCCTCTGCCTGGTTCCCTGTAGCCTCACTTCTCAGAGTGAGGGAACTGCCAGAAGGCCCTCGGAGCTGGACCTCAGTGTCTGGGCTGGACGATGGGGGTGGAAACACTATTTCTGAAAATTATTTCTATTTGTTATTTGGTACACAAGAACATAGTAAGAGCCTGCTGAATCAGGCCAATGGCCCGTCTAGTCCGGCATTCTCACAGCGGCTGACCAAATGTCTGAATGGGAAATCGGCCAGCAGGACTCGAGCACAAGAACATCTCTCCCCTCCTGTGGTTTCCATCAACTGCCATTCAGAAGAATGGCTGCCTCTAGCCATGACTGGCAGCCATCAATGGCCCTCTATGAATTTGTCTAATCCTCTCTTAAAGCGATCTGAGCTGGTGGCTGTCACTGCCTCCTGAGGATAGTTTAACTGTGTGAAGAAGGACTTTGCCTTATCTGTCCTGAATCTCTCAATACAGTCAAACCTTGGCCCCCAAATGGGCTCCATTTTTGAACGTTTTGGCTCCCAAATGCTGAAAAGCCGGAAGTAAACACTCCGGTTTTCAAACGTTTTTCGAAAGCCAAACGTCTGACTTGGGTTCCGCTTGAACGCAGGAATCTCTTGCAACCAATCGGAAGCCGTGCCTCGGTTTTCGAATGTTTCAGAAGCCGAATGGGCTTCCGGAACGGATTAAGTTCGACAACCGAAGTTTGACTGGAGTCATCTTCCTTGGATGTCTGCGAGTTCCAGTGTTATGAGCGAAGACCCTAAACAACTCGGGGAACGACTGACGATGCTCTGCAGATGATCTCAACGGCCAAGCTGGGACAAAAGGGTTCAGGTGATTCACAAATTGATAATCTATATGGTAAAGGTAAAGGACCCCTGGACAGTTAAGTCCAGTCAAAGGCGACTATGGGGTATGGCGCTCATCTCGCTTTCAGGCCAAGGGAGCCAGTGTTTATTCACACACAACACTGTCAAACCGATAGTTAGGTAAATTCTACTAACAAATATACCCACACCGTAACTGGCTGTGTTTAACTATATAAATTCTTTATACATCATATAAACCTAACTCTTTTCACATTATCTAATTGAGTAGAAGCAATTAAGGACCAACATTTAGAACAGGAAATACAAATAGATCAGTTCTTATATACTTAACGTCCAAATAGAAGCTTTTGTGTTCCATGTACGTACAAATGAATCAGTTTTTTTTAATGCAATGTCCAAATACAGTGGTGCCTCGCAAGACGAAATTAATTCGTTCCGCAAGTTTTGTCGTCTTGCGATTTTTCCGTCTTGCGAAGCACGGTTTCCCATAGGAATGCATTGAAAATCAATTAATGCGTTCCTATGGAAACCGACTTCAGACCAGGTCCGGGGACAGTCTGTCCCCCGACCTCTTCTGAAGGCTGGGGGGGGGGGGACCAAGGGCTTTTCTTCCCACCCCCAGCATTTTATAAAACCCCGGGACAGCGGGAGACTTCTCCACTGTCCGGGGCGATCTTAAAATGCTGGCGGGCGGGAGCGAAGCCTCCGCTGCCGCCCGCCAGCATTTTAAAAAGCCCCGGGACAGCGGGGGACTTCTCCGCTGTCCCGGGGCGATTTAAAAGCCCCCGGGAAGGCAGGCAGGTGGGACAAAGACTTTTGCCCCCTGCCAGCCTTCAGAAGAGGTCCTGGACCTCTTCTGAAGGCGGGCAGGGGGCGAAAGTCTTTGCTCCCCCCCGCCTGCCTTCAAAAGCCGTCCGGGATAGCGGAGAAATGAAGGCTGGCGGCGGGAAGAAGTCTCTCCGCCCGCCGCCAGCCTTCGGAGGAGGTCCGAGGACAGTGGGGAAGACGCGCTGCGCTTCCCCACTGTCCCGGAGATTTCCCTATGGGCTTTCGTCTTGCGAAGGAAGCCCATAGGGAAATTCGTTTTGCGAAGCGCCTCCAAAACGGAAAACCCTTTCGTCTAGCGGGTTTTCCGTCTTGCGAGGCGTTCGTCTTGCGGGGCACCACTGTAAAAGCTTTTTGTGTTCCACAAATACAAGTGTCAAATACAAGTGTCAAACGTAACAACTTTAAGGAGCAGTACTTGCATAAGATGAACTTTTCTTTGTTCCACATCTGCCTTTGCAAAGTATGGTTGTTATATGCAGCAGCTGTATACAGGTATCAGACGAGGAATACAAAATATTTTAACATGTGCCTTTGCAAAATACACCGTATTTTTTGCTCTATAAGACGCACTTTTACCCTCCTAAAAAGTAAGGGGAAATGTGTGTGCGCCTTATGCAGCGAATGCAGGCGGGAGGCTCTGTCAGCACTCCCTTTAAAAAGCTGTGTGGAGGGCTGCTCTTCTCCCTCCTCGGGAAAAGCCCCCAAGAGCCTCACACATACTCCGCGTGCTCTTTAAAGGGAGTGTGGCTCTTGGGGAAAACTTAGCTGCGCGCAGCCTCTCCCGGGCAGGGGATGAAGGCTCCCCTTGCCCGGGAGAGGCTGCGCGCTGCTAAAGAAGAAGCCAGGACAGCCAGCAGGGGAGCGGGGAGCCTTCATCTCGCTGCCCTGCCGAGGCTTCGCACAGCTATCTCTGGCTTTTGCGGGAGGTGGGGGAAGAGACAGGGCGCGCGGCTCTGTCCCTTCCCCCACCTCCCAGAAAAGCCCCTAAGAGCCGCGCTCCCTTTAAAGAGCGCGCAGCTCTTGTGGGAGGAAAGCCAGTAAGCTTGCTTTTGCTGAAGCCCAGAGGGCAAGAGGGATCGGTGCGTACCAATCCCGCTTGCTCTCCAGGCTTCAGGGATAGCCCCACAAAGCCTCCTGAGCGAAGATGGAGGAGCGCTCCCTCTTCGCTCAGGATGCTTTGTGTTCCTTTCTTATTTCTTGTTTTCTTCCCCTAAAAACTAGGTGCGTCCAATCGTCTGGTGCGTCAAATAGAGTGGAAAATAAGGTGGTTGTTGTATGCCGGTGTCAGACGAAAGAACTTAAACGTGACAAGGATTCCTGGAATAATACAGTGGTACCTCGGGTTAAGTATTTAATTCGTACTGGAGGTCTGTTCTTAACCTGAAACTGTTCTTTCTTTTTTTAAAAAAAGATATTTATTAAAGGTTTAATAGTTACAGAAAAAAGAAGAAAGAAACAATAAAAAATTCACAATACATCAAAAATAAAAATAAAATCAAAAAACAATACAGCAAAACGACAAGAAAAGCAAAAACATTTAAAAACACATCCAATATCTCTATATCTCTACCTTTCATTTACTTGTATCATCGACCTCCTCACACCTCCCTTTTTTGTATTCTTGTTCAATTAGCTATTTCAGCAAATCCTTTCCATCTTTCTTAATTTTTGCTCTATAATTTATCTTAACACAATCTAACCTTAAATTTCCACTTTGACCCATTAACAATCTATTTTTACTTAATTCTTTATAACATTTCTGCTAAAGCCATATAACTTCATTCCAGCATCCTTCTAACATTCATTAATTTTACAATATTTCTGTAGATATACTTTAAATTTTTTCCAATCTTCTTCCACCGACTCTTCAACCTGAAACTGTTCTTAACCTGAAGCACCACTTTAGCTAATGGGGCCTCCCGCTGCCGCCGTGCCGCCACCACACTATTTCTGTTCTCATCCTGAAGCAAAGTTATTAACTATTTCTGGGTTAGCGAAGTCTGCGTCTCTAACCCGAGGTACCACTGTATGCGTTATCCGCCATGTCACTTGTTCCATGTCTCTGATACACAAAATATGAGTATGCTCAGCTGCCGAAGCCTGGCAAGGCAAAACAAGGTATTATTCTGGGAATCCTTGTCACGTTTAAGTTCTTTTGTTTGTACATATGTGGAACACAAAAGCTTCTATTGCCTTCAGCGAGCCCAAATGGCTCAGTGGTTTAGACCACAGTGCCACCCACAACGGTTTGAATGGGAAAACTTAGTTCAGTAACTTGACTTACTCATTGAGGAACAGGTAGAGCATTGTTGGCTGATATACCACTGCTTCACATGCCTCTCTGTGGCAGGTGCTGATCTGCTACTTGCAGTTGTCGTGAGAAGACCACCACTGCTACGAGATGCTTCCGCAAGTCCTTGAGGAGGGCACCCCAAAACAGATTCATCTGCATCTTCCACCTCCTCCTTTATCTCTTTGAACTCAATCTGCTCTTCTGGAAGAGAAGGGGCTTGCTGGTGGTGGAAGGTAGGAGAAGGAGGAGTTCCTTGAGGTTCCTCTTCAGAAGATGGGGTCATTGGCTCGTCCTGCTCCCATCCTTCGTTCTCTTCTCTGCATCTGGTCACCCTCCTTGCAACTTCAACTACAGGAACAAACGGCGGTGGTGTTAATTAAAAACTACAACTAATCCAGAATGTGGCAGCTAGACTGGAGACTGGGAGCGGCTGCAGAGACCATATGACACCGGTCTTGAAAGACCTACACTGGCTCCCAGTACGTTTCCGAGCACAATTCAAAGTGTTGGTGCTGATCTTTAAAGCCCTAAACGGCCTCGGTCCAGTATACCTGAAGGAGCATCTCCACCCCCATCGTTCTGCCTGGACACTGAGGTCCAGTGCCAAGGGCCTTCTGGCGGTTCCCTCGCTGCAAGAAGCCAAGTTACAGGGAACCAGGGCCTTCTCGGTAGTGGCGCCCAACCTGTGGAACGACCTCCCACCAGATGTCAAAGAGATAAACAATTACCAGACTTTTAGAAGACATCTGAATGCAGCCCTCTTTAGGGAAGCTTTTAACGTTTAATAGGTTATTGTATTTTAGTGTTCTGTTGGAAGCCGCCCAGAGTGGATGGGGAAACCCAGCCAGATGGGCGGGGTATAAATAATAAATTATTATTATTATAAAAATGGTATCTAAGACACAGCGCATAAAAATATAGAAAGAGCTTGCTGGATCATGCCAATGGCCCATCTAGTCTAGCTTTCTGGTCTCACAGTGCCCAACCAGTTTCCTGTGGGAAGCTTGCAATCAGGATTTGAACACAGGAGCCCTTTCCTCTCCTGCAGTTTCCAGAAACTAGGATTCAGAAGCATTGCTTCAACTGTGGAGGCAGAGAGCAGCCATTATGGCTAGTAGCCATTGATAACCCTCTCCTCCATGCATTTGGCTAAACTGCCTTTAAAGCCTTCTAGGGTTGGTGGCCATCCCTGCCTCTTGTGGCTGTGAGTTCCATAGTTTAACTATGTACTGCATAACGGACTTTCTTTTATCTGTCCTGTACGTTCCAATGTTCTTCTTTGAACGTGCACTACTTCAGTCATGATATACACATTATTATAATCTAATTATATTATTGTAATTATTATAATAATTATAAATTATTTATAATTCATATGACGTGTAAGCTTCACCAAATGTTTTGTTCTGTGAACAGCAGGAGAAAATCTAATTTTACTGGAAAATAAAACAGCACAGGGCAGTTATAGATTTTCTTTTGTACCGCTGTTCTTTTTAAAAAAACAACAAACAATTATTTCTTGTTTTTTAAACAAATACAATAACCATTAAACACTTATCCAGCAGTACATCTAATGGTGTTTGTTTTACCCATTGTCTCTAGACATGCACTTACAGATTCAACATTCAGGCGTATTACTTGTTGTAACCTCTCCACTAAGAATACTGAGCGGTTGGTATGATTTTGGTCATTAACATGGTTAAAGAAAGGAGTCCACGTTTATTTGAAGGGGTCTCTGTTTTGCCTTTAACGGCTTGTACCACTGTTCTTATAATAAAGCCTTTATGGATTTTAGAAAACAGAAATAAACAAAAGAAGACAAAATATTGGAAAAGCAAAAGCTTTTAAAATGACAAAAGGTCAGAATTTTTTCCTCCCTCTCTCCTAACACTAGAAGTTGTGGGCATTTCCTAGGCAGCAGACTCTTCCGATGTCCTTAAAGTTACAAAATACCTAGTCTTAAAGGATGCATTCCTTTTAAAAACACACACATAAAAACTCCTCACTACTATCTTATCAGGGGACGCAGGTGGCGCTGTGGGTTAAACCACAGAGCCTAGGGCTTGCCGATCAGAAGGTTGGCAGTTCGAAATCCCGTGATGAGGTGAGCTCCCGTTGCTCGGTCCCTGCTCCTGCCAACCTAGCAGTTCGAAAGCACGTCAAAGTGCAAGTAGATAAATAGGTACCGCTCCGGCGGGAAGGTAAACGGCGTTTCCGTGCGCTGCTCTGGTTTGCCAGAAGCGGCTTAGTCATGCTGGCCACACGACCCAGAAGCTGTACGCCGGCTCCCTCGGCCAGTAAAGCGAGATGAGCGCCACGACTCCAAAGTTGGTCACGACTGGACCTAATGGTCAGGGGTCCCTTTACCTTTTTACTATCTTATCAGTCAAGGGGCCGCTTTTTGACCACTGTCCTGATCAAAGTTGGAATATTCTGTATGAAAATGCAGTCCATGAAACATTTTAAATATATAGAAATATACAGAAACCTTTTCTGTTCTTTTTGTGAGTTTGTATTTGTATGGATTTAAGTGTTAATATGTTATTGTAATTATGTACAATAAGTGTATAATGCTTTATATCTCTTTGTCCCTTTTCTTTCTTCTCTTTCCTTTTTTCTGTTTTCGTACTAAATGTTATGTATATATGTTTTTAATCTAAACCAATAAAGATTATTAAAATTAAAAAATAATATTTTTTTGGGGAAATCGGCTCGGCTCCTGAGTACCTAAAGGCGCAACTCTGCCAGTATCGACCACCTTGGGCCCTACAACTGGCAGGGGAGGCCCGGTTGGCGGTGCCCCTTCTGGCTGCTGCCCGGCGGCTGCTGGCTTGTGGCAGGGCCTTATCGGTGGTGGCTCCCCATTTGTGGAATCGTTGTCGGTCTCCGACGCATCCACCGCTGAAACGGAGAGAGAAACCGACGTGAGTGGCAGAGGGGGAATCGGAAGGGACTGTCCAATCAGTATAGAGCAGCGGTGGCTAACCTCAAAGCTTTCCAGACAAAGTGTTTTGGGGAGAGGGGGAGAGAATGTGCCCCCCCACCTGTGGTGAGTACCTCATGTTGAGTACCAGCACCCTTTCCCCCACCCCAGAGAAAAGCACTACAGTGGTACCTCTGGTTAAGAACTTAATTCGTTCTGGAGGTCCGTTCTTAACCTGAAATTGTTCTTAACCTGAGGTACCACTTTAGCTAATGGGGCCTCCCGCTGCCGCTGTGGCGAAATTTCTGTTCTCATCCTGAGGCAAAGTTCTTAACCTGAGGTACTATTTCTTGGTTAGCGGAGTCTGTAACCTGAAGCGTCTGTAGCCTGAAGTGTACGTAACCCGAGGTACCACTGTACATGGAAAGCCATCAGGTTGTCGAAGGCGGATCTACAGTGGTACCTCGGGTTACAGACGCTTCAGGTTACAGACTCCACTAACCCAGAAAGAGTACCTCAGGTTAAGTACTTAATTCGTTCTGGAGGTCCGTTCTTAACCTGAAACTGTTCTTAACCTGAGGTACCACTTTAGCTAATGGGGCTTCCTGCTGCTGCTGCGCTGCCGTCACGCAATTTCTGTTCTCATCCCGAAGCAAAGTTCTTAACCTGAGGTACTATTTCTGGGTTAGTGGAGTATGTAACCTGAATGTCTGTAACTTGAAGCGTCTGTAACCTGAGGTACCACTGTACCTTGGGTTAAGAACTTTGCTTCAGGATGAGAACAGAAATCGTGTGGTGGCGGCGCAGCGGCAGAAATCAAAGACTGGAACTGACTGGAAGCCCAGGGGTGGGGGTGGGTAGGTTTTGTGTGGGAGGGTGGGGGGGAGGGAGGGAGGGAGGAAAAATTGGGGGGGGGAATAAGGATGATATGGATAATATGTTTTGTTTTAATTTTGAATAAAGAAACTTTTTTAAAAAGAAAACATAAGAAAAAAGTTCTTAACCAGATGTACCACTGTATTTTGAAGAGCCAATTAATAAAAAGTGCTTTGCAGCAGCCTTCCCTAACTTTGTTTTTTTAAAAAAATAATATTTATTACTTTCCCAACAATTTAAGGAATACACACAAAAAAAAGAACAATACAATACAACACACAAACACCACACAACACCAACACATTAACAAAACAAAACAAAAACAATCCAGAACACATCAAACAACTTCAATAGCCCATCCTTCATTCACTTATTTCAACAACCTCCTCACACCTCCCTTTTTGTATTCCACTTCTATTAATTGTTTCAGCAATTCCTTTCCATCTTCCTCTGTTTTCTATCTAGGATAGAAAGCCTTCCCTAACTTTATGCGCTCAACCCAGCAAAGTCAAGATACTGGAATGATAAATCTGGAAAAAAAAATCAGAAGACCCTGCAAATCAAAAGGTTTCTTTTAAAACATACCGGGCTTTCTGTGCTCCCCAAAAGGTGGTTTCCCAGCTGCAATCCAGATCGAAGTCACTTCCTTGTAGAAGGGAGGAGGGCTCTTGACTCTGACCTGTCCGCAGGCCGCCTCGATGCCCTCACTGAAAAAGTCAATCTTCAGGCGCTTCCACTTGTTGCGGAGCTGGCAGCTGGATCTGGAGAATCCCAGAGAGAGCATTTCATCCTGCAGGGCTTTCCAGTGCTTCTCGTCCACAGCCGTGCTGCTGCTGCTGCTCATAAACGCCTTGATGCCGGGGCTACGGGCGATTATAGAGAGCATCTTTTGGGTTTCGTCTCCGCTCCATCTAGGACGACAACATGCAAGAGTCAAAGAAGTGTATTGGCACTATAAAATAAATCAAGATGGCTTCTCTCTCCCTCTAGCAAAACGACCGTATTTTTCGCTCCATAAGACGCACCTTTCCCTTCCTAAAAAGGAAGGGGAGATGTGTGCGTGTCTTATGGAGCAAATGCAGGCGGGAGGCTCTGTCAGCGCTCCCTTTAAAGAGCTGCGTGGAGCATGTGTGCGGCTCTTGGGGGCTTTTCCCCGAGGAGGGAGAAGGGCAGCTCCGCGCGGCTCTCTAAAGGGAGCACAGCTCTTGGGGGCTTTTCTGGGAGGTGGGGGAAGGGACTGACGGGCTGCCCTTCTCCCCCCTCAGGGAAAAGCCCCCCAGAGCCGCACACACACTCCGTGTGCTCTTTAAAGGGAGCACGGCTCTTGGGGCAGGTTTCCTCCCGCTGCCCTGAAGAGGCATCGTGCGGCTATCCCAGAAGATTCAGAATATTTTTTTTCTTGTTTCCCTCCTCCAAAAACTAGGTCAGGGGTCTGCAACCTTTAAGACAAAAAGAGCCACTTGGACCCGTTTCCAAAGAAAAAAACACCTGGGAGCCGCAAAACCATTGCGACATTTAAAGCATGCGCGCCGCTGCCCTCCAATCTGACAGCGGGTGGGAAGGTGACGTCGGGACGGTGTGTGACTAACGCACGCACTGCCCCCATGCAACATCACAGCCAGTACAGCGCCTGCCACAGTGGGGAGTGTCGGGGCGCACAATGCGCCTCCTCCCCTCGCTAGTATCTGCCCCGGAGCCGCGGCAAAGGTGTAAAAGAGCCACATGCGGCTCCGGAGCCGCAGGTTGCAGACCCCTGAACTAGGTGCATCTTATGGTCTGGTGCGTCTTACAGAGCGAAAAATACGGTAGTTGGTTTGGGGAATTCGGCTGGTTAACGTAAGAACATAAGAAGAGCCTGTTGGATCAGGCCAATGGCCCACCCAGCTCAGCATTTTGGTTTCCCGGTGGTCATCCAAATATCTTTGGGAATCCCACAGGTAGCATTTGAGCACAAGGGCACACTGCCCTCCTGTGGTTTTCAGAAACTGTGATTCAGTGGCAGAGTTGAGTCACCGTGCAGCCATTAAGAGCCCTCTCCTTCATGAATTTGTCCAATCCTCTTCTGTTCCACAGGTTATGTGCTGTGTGAAGAGCACTTTACAGTGGTGCCTCGCAAGACGAAATTAATCCGTTCCGCGAGTCTCTTCGTCTTGCGTTTTTTTCGTCTTGCGAAGCACGCTATTAGCGGCTTAGCGGCTAAGGACTATTAACGGCTTAGCGGCTATTAACGGCTTAGCGGCTTTAAGAAAAAGGAAACAAACTTGCAAGAACTCGCAAGACGTTTCGTTTGCGAAGCAAGCCCATAGGGAAATTCGTCTTGCGGAACGACTCAAAAAACGGAAAACCCTTTTGTCTAGCGAGTTTTTCGTCTTGCGAGGCATTCGTCTTGCGGGGCACCACTGTATCTACCCTGTGTTTTCCAACATAATGTTTTTGCTTTCCCCTCAGAAACCAACACGGTATATGCTTTTAATGTTTAACAGACCATTGTATTTTAATATTTTGTTGGAAGCTGCCCAGAGTGGCTGGGGAAACCCAGCCAGATGGGTGGGCTATAAATAATAATAAATTATTATTATTATTATTATTATTATTATTATTATTATGTCTTCTTCTTCTTCTCAACAATTTTTACAGGACATCTAAAGTCAGCCCTGTATCAGGAATGTTTGACATTTTTTAATTATTATTTTGCTGGCCAGATTGGCGGCGTATTTGTTGTTGTTGTTGACCTATATCCCTCCTCACTAAACAGGGCTGGGAGAGACCCTGCTTCAAATAATACTAATACTAAAAATACTAATAGTAGTACTCCCACCCCGTGAAACACCCTCCCATCCGAAGGATGGAAATAAACAACTATCTAACTTTTAGAAGGCATCTGAAGGCTGCCCTGTTTAGGGAAGTTTTTTAATGTTTTGTGTTTTTAATATTCTGTTGGGAGCTGCCCAGAGTGGCTGGGGAAACCCATAATGTATGATGATTGTTATTAATATGTATTATTTATATCCTGTCTATCTGGCAGGGTTGCCCCAGTCATAATAAACACAATAAAACACCAAACATTAAAAAAACCTCCCTGTACAGGGCTGCCTTCAGATGCCTTCTAAAAGTTGTGTAGTCCTTTATCTCCTTGACATCTGATGGGAGGGTGTCCCACATGGGGTGGCACCCATTCTCAAACTTTGGAGAGCTACAGACAGTCAGCGTTGAGCAGGGATGGCTAACCTATTTCCCTCCCACTGAGGCTGGACCCCAGTTCCCTTCAGTCTCGCCTGTCATGGCCAATAAGTTCCATAATACTTGGAGTTGCAGTCCAACAAATGGAGGGCCACATATCTGCCCCACCCCGGTGTGCACAGTACCAAGATCAACCAATGGTTATGAGAGCAAGCTGTGTTCCTGTTTAAATCCAGGCATTTGTTCATCCCAAGACTCGTATAGCGTAGGGTACGAATGGGGTGTGTGGATGTTTGTGAGAGCACTGGGCTAATATTGACTTTCCTTTACAGTGGTACCTCGGGTTACATACGCTTCAGGTTACAAACCCTTCAGCTTACAGACTCCGTTAATCCAGAAATAGTGCTCCAGGTTAAGAACTTTGCTTCAGGAATAAGAACAGAAATCGTGCCTCAGCGGTGCGGCGGCAGCAGGAGGCCCCATTAGCTAAAGTGGTGCTTCAGGTTAAGATCAGACCTCTGGAACGAATTAAGTACTTAACCCGAGGTACCGCTGTATTGTGAAATTACCTTTGAGATACTTCATGCAAAGCAGTTCCTAAATGGAATTGCAGTGGAGGGTCGTGCAAACAACAGGATCCAATGTGCAGAAACACAGGTGGATTTGTGTGCGCACTACAAAGGGGGACATTCAAGTTGTTTTAGTCTTGGATGTATTTATTAAATATGGAGGGGATTTTTTTTTTGGCCTTGATTATTATTGTTTTGTAAACCCCACCCCCTGCCCAGCAATGAGCAGCTTTATCAGAGAGGTGACAACACTCAAGCACATCCTAACCCCCAAAATTTCTATAAGAGCCTTTCAGGAAACAGATTCCTTGCAGAAGAAAGTGGGTTGCCTTGACCCGAAGCTCTTTCCACACTCCAGACACATTTCCCCTTCCCCATAGCTGGGTTCCTGTATAGATATCAACCAGTTGTACTTGCAAATCACCTTTTCCAGCAGGCAGGACACTCTTCCCCTTCCTCCGGGTTTGGCGGTGTTTGGTCTCGCGAGCGGCCTGCGACTCCGGAGAAGGTGCCACACACATGAGCAGAACTCTCGTTGCTTCTGGTTCCCTCCCGCTTCTTCGTTTCGTCTTGATCCCAGTCGTCCTCTTCCGTGTGTGGGCAGCTAGCGCAGTCCTCGTACACCGGATGGGCTTGGCATTCGTTGTCCGTCTCCCAAACATCCCCTCCTGAAAGAGAGAGGAGGCAAACGTGTCTGCTGAGATTATCTATTTATCTACTGCTTCCTATGGGGCATATCAAAGCAACGTCGCAATATAAATATGGGTTTAACAAATTCAGATGGGCATTAAAGGGCTATTTAAGGAAATGTTATCTTTTGATGCGAGCAAGATTTGAAACATGAGCAACAGAAGGAACTGGAGAACACAATTTTGATGTATTGGTGCAAGACAGAGGTTTTCAACCTTTTTGAGTCCATAGCTCCCTTGGCCAATTTCCTTCTTTCTGTGGCACCCCTGTGGAGCTCAGAAACCCAGTTATGTCCCCCCTTGCTGGCAGCCCCTCACCCCTTTTCAAACACCCTCCCTTGTGTATTGTTCCCTCAGCCACCCGCTCTGAAACCCCACAGCTAATTCTCCCCTGGCCTCCTCGCTGGCCCAAGTAGGACCAATTCAGCCAGCTAACCTTGGGGATTATCTAATTGATTTTTGATTTTTATTGTTATTCATGTTTTTATACTGTATTTTATGCTGCTTTTATAATTAGGTGTTTTAAAGTGTTTTAAATTTGTTGTTAGCCGCCCTGAGCCTGGTTTTTGAACCAGGAAGGGCAAGGGTATAAATAAAAATTATTATTATTATTATTATTATTATTATTATTATTATTATTATCCCCTCTCCTTGGGAGTCCTCTGGGCAGCTGCCACCACCACTCCTGGTCTCTGGGCTGCTCCCCCCCCCCGCTCCAAAGAGAGGTGTCTCCTCATGTCACCCCCCCCAGCGGCCTGGGAAGAAGATGCCCCCAGCCTTAGTGGCCCAACGGAGACTGGCCAAAGGTGAGTATGAGGCCAGCACCTTACTCACCTTGGGAGGCAGCAGTAGTAGCAGCAGCAACAGTGGGCACCGCCAGGCCTGCGTGGTGGAAAGGCTCCCCTTTGACACTGTGCACTCAGCTCCCAGGCAGGCATTACACACAGCAAGCGCAAGTAAGGCTAGCAAAGCACCTGCCTGCCTGCCTGGTCCCACACCTGTCTGTCCACCCCCAACAGCAAGGGCTGGCTGGGAGCTGAGTGCCCTCGTCCACTTGCTTGATTCCTCTGAGGCTGCCTCAGCTCATGGCAACCAGCACCCCCTGGCCAGCCCCAGAGGCACCATTCGCCTAGGGAGCTTGTAGCCAGGGCTGCTGCCACAAACAGCTGTGCAAGCCTTTGGGAGGCAGAGATGTAGGGAGGGCATCAGAGGAGGGAAAGAAAGAAGGAAGAAAGAAAGAAAAGAAAGAAAGAAAGAAAGAAAGAAAGAGAGAGAGAGAGAGAGGCGGGTGTTACTCAAGGCACCCCTGACCATCCTTCAAGGAACCCCAGGGTGCCAGGGCACACTGGTTGAAAAGAAATAGAAGGTACTGTGCAGCAGAAGGGGGGCGGGATTAAAACACCATGGAAAATGGGGCAGGAAGTTGGGAAAATACAAATCTTCTATGTACGGAAGTACATAGGTTAAACCAGGGGTCTGCAACCTTTAAGACAAAAAGAGCCACTTGGACCCGTTTCCGAAGAAAAACAACTGGGAGCCGCAAAACCATTGCGACATTTAAAACAAATATATCTCCGGAGCCGCGATCTGACAGCGGGCGGGAAGGTGACGTCGGGACGGTGCGTGGCTAACGCACGCACCGCCCCCATGCGACGTCACAGCCAGTACAGCGCCTGCCACAGTGGGGAGTGTTGGGGCGCACAATGCGCCTCCTCCCCTCACTAGTATCAGCCGCGGAGCCGCGGCAAAGGTGTAAAAGAGCCACATGCGGCTCCGGAGCCGTGGGTTGCAGACCCCTGGGTTAAACTGTTGAAAATTCAATAAAAATTTACAACAGCAGCAGCAGCAGCAACAACAACAACAAGAACATCATACCAGTTTGTTATTCCACGAAAGACCAAAAAAGAGATTAGGAAACGTAAGAACACGGCCAGGGGAAAAACAGTGCTGTCCAGGGTTGTAAAGACTGTGGAGAGAATAACTGGGTGCACTCTTCCCACCTTGGATCAAATCTACGCTTCCAGGTGCCATAAGAAAGCTGCAGAGATAGCGCAGGATAGTGCGCACCCCGGAAATGATCTCTTTCAGCTTCTGCCTTCTGGAAGAAGGTCCAGGGTTATAAAGACAAGGACTAGCCGCCTGAGAAACAGTTTCTATCCAAATGCGATTTTGGTTTTATAGCAGCGTAAGGTAGTCTCTGAGGGAGTATATTGTATTTAATTATGGGGTATCAGAGTTTTTAGGGGCTAACAAGGCTGGGATAGCAGGCTTGTTGGTTTTTGAAAGTCTGATGTAGATTTTTTCAATTTCGTTGTTCTGTATGGGACAATGACAATAAAGATTATCGTATCATAACTGAACAGTGGGAATTCCAGAATAACTGCAGACTACCACTTCTACTGACGTGCTTGATGCTTTTATTGCTGTTACCACAGCACTGTCTTTTTAGATTGCATTCCGCCGGATGGCATTTTACACGAAAGCGCAGCCTGCAAACATTTAAGCAAAACGCATAAATAAGTATGGCTTGGGAATGGCGTACCTAAAGGAGCGACTCCGCCACTATCAACCACCTCGGGTCCCACGATCCGCAGGGGAAGCCTGGTGGCTGGTGCCTCTTTGGGCTGCTGCTTCGTGGTCGCTGGCCTGTCGCAGGGCCTTATTGGGGGTAGCTCCCCATTTGTGGAATTGCTTTCGTTGTCCGTCTCGCACACATCCACCACTGAAATTGAGAGAGAAACCGAAATGAGTGGAAACACGGTTGGAGGCCTTAAGGCTTTCTGAATACTGGTTTCTGGAAACCGGGGAAAGTGCTCTTGTTGAGCTAAAGCTTCCCCATACCTGGTATAGATAGATCTTCGCATGGAGCAAGTGATGGGTCTTTCTACTGAACCTGAGGAATCCCAGCCTGCACAGGATCCCCCCAGGACCAGCTGATCCGGGGCTGGGGCTTGAACCTGAAGGGCCCTCACCTGTGCCGGATCCTCAGGGGCAGGCACCAGCTGAATCTGCTCTGGCTCCGGAGGTGATCGAGGACCCATTCCCTGCAGGTGCTCCACTCTCAACCCCGTCAGGGGAAGGTGAGGTTGCCTCTGGGTCCAGTAACCCTCCAGCCTCTCCTGAGCTGCAGAGGCTCAGGGCAGAGAGGCAGAGGGAACTAAGTTCTCTCAGGAGGAGTGCTCGCCTCCAGGCCAGGAGAGGCGAGTCACCTGTGGACCGGGGCCGCCCTATGCCTTGGGGCAGATAAAATCCAGCCAGCCCAGTCCCAGACTGCGGGAGCAACACTGTTGGTAACCTGTTCCTGCTGGCACCCTGTCCTGCTCTTCTGCCAGAGTTCCTGACCACACCCAACTCCTTGCCTTGGACCCCGCTTCAGCCTTGATGGACAGCCTCCATACCACACCCTTGACCTCGGACTGGACTTGGACCATGCCGCACGGTAACCCCCTGGGAACAGCACACTGGCTTTCCTCAATGTTATAGAAATCGGACAGTGAGAAATGTTCAAACATACATAGCTTACAGGCCTTCAGAGTAGACCCCCTTTGATACAATGCAGCGTTGACAACGTTCGTAGAACTGTTGGAAACTTTTGGTGAAGTCTTCTTTTTGTACTGCTTTCATTTCCCTTGCCACAGCAGCTTGGGCGTATGAAATGTTGGAAAATCTGTGCCCTTTCAGAGCAGATTTCAGTTTTGGAAAAAGAAAAATCTGGTGGGGCCAGATGGGGAGAATATGGAGGGTGGGACAACTCAGTAATCTCAGTAACGGTTTCACACGGAATATGCAATTCTTCTGCCATCATTCAAATGGACAAACGCCAATCCCATATCAATAACTCATAAACTCTGTTGACATTTGCTGCCATTCTGCCTGTCAACCGTCTGCCAAACCATGGGTCATCTTTGATGGTTTGCCGCCCTTCACGGAAAGGCTTAAACCACTCATATGCTGTCTTTTGAGTTGCAGTTTCATCTCCGTACACAATTGTGAGCATTTCGTGGGTTTCCGATGCCGACTGTATGTTTGAATATTTCTCGCTGTCTGATTTCTGTGACCATTCACCAAACTTTCCGGTCATACCTTGTATTTCAATGTTGTTATATCTATTGAACTACAACTCCCATCGACCCCAGATTGGTGAAGGCTGGCCTAGATAAACCACCTGGGTCATGAGAATTATAGAACTGGAGTTTGAAGGGACCCCCTGAAATGCATGAACCACAACTAAAGTTCTGTAGTCTTGTAGGAGCTTATAGGCTTGGGAGAGGGGGGGAGGCGGAATGCTGAAATGAGAAATATGGGGAAAACACCACACCCAGAAACAGAATATCCTGCAAATAGTAAGGATTTTCCTTAAAAAAAACCCTACCAGGCTTTCTGCGTTCCCCGAAAGGCGGCTTCCCTGCCGCGATCCAGATCGCAGTTAATTCCTTGTAGAAGGCAGGAGGATGCTTGACTCGAATTTGTCCACAGGCTGCCTTGATTCCCCGATTGAAGAAGTCGATCTTCAGGCGCTTCCACTTTGCACGGAGCTGGCAGGTGGATCTCGAGTATCCCAGGGCATGCATGCTGTCCTGCAAGGACTTCCAGTACTTCTCGTTGGTAGCCGTGCTACTGCTCATAAACACCTTGGTGCCGGCGCTCTGAGCTATTATAGAGAGCATCTTTTGGGTCTCATCTCTGGTCCACCTACGACAACGTGCAAGAGTGAGGCATTGTATACAGCAAGGCAGCAGGACAAACTCTCTCCCTAACAAAACTAGCTGGTTTGAGGAGTCCAGTTGGCTGTTGTTAATTGAATTTATATACCGCCCCAAACCCAGAGGTCTCAGGGCGGTTCAGAGAACAAATTCAAAATATAAAACCACATAATATATACTGTTGTGCATTGGAAGTCGAATGGAATCCGTTCCGGAAGTCTGTTTGACTTCCAAAATATTTGAAAACCAAAGTGCTGCTTCTGATTGGCTGCAGGAAGCCAACTGTGCGCAGAACAATTTATTAAGTGTAGGAGTGCCAATATCCAGAGTGTGGGGTCAGGCGGGATTACTATGAGGAATTCTAAAATATGCATGAAGCCATTGTGTCCACGATGAATGCATTGTGTTGACTGGGTTTGATACACTGACAATAATTTCTGATAAAATCCTACAACCCTCTGCATCTTTGGCCATTTCCTCTACTGCCCATTTCTCTTGCTTGACAAGTCATGTACTGCAGGCATGCATCCTGGGTCATCAAAGACAGTGGGCAGCTTCTTTGAAGTAGCCTTTCTGATACAGTGGTGCCCCGCAAGACGAATGCCTCGCAAGACGAAAAACGCGCAAGACGAAAGAGTTTTCCGTTTTTTGAGTCGTTCCACAAGACGAATTTCCCTATGGGCTTGCTTCGCAAGACGAAACGTCTTGCGAGTTCTTGCGAGTTTGTTTCCTTTTTCTTAAAGCCGTTAAGCCGTTAATAGCCGCTAAGCCGTTAATAGCCGCTAAGCCGCTAATAGCCATGCTTCGCAAGACGAAAAAACCGCAAGACGAAGAGACTCGCGGAACGGATTAATTTCGTCTTGCGAGGCACCACTGTATGTTAATCTTAGGATGTTACTCTTAGGGCCAGGAAACAGATCTCACATGAAGGTGATAATGATTATTGTCCTCCTGGCCATCCTTCTTATCATGTATATTTCTTGCCAAATGCACTCCTTTGTAGTTCAGTTTTGTTTACCCCAGAAATATGTGTGCTTAATTAGTTTTGGTAGTTTAACTTTGTCCCCACGTGGGGATTGTTGAAATGCTCAGAAGAAATCTGATTGGTTCTTACAAACACTCTGTAAAAAGTTCTTTTGTGAATAAAATGACCTGGGCCAGGGAGTGGACGCAGAGATTATTCTACACACCCTTCCCAGACTCTTGCTGGTTCAAGCCTCTGTGTGTATTCTTATTAATCAGAGTTCAATCCTTCCTTTACTTTGGGAACACCTCAATTAAGCTGTTTAACATGTACATATGGACTCTCCTTAAGAGCAGGAGGAGTCTGGGAACTCCAGACTCCTTCTCAAAGATCTTGTAGCTCAGCCAACATCCTTTCAGTTCAGCCACAAAAGAAGGGATTTATACAGGATATAGTTATTAAGGTGTTGCTCTGTTGTGCTTCTCTGCTGCAGATTAGCTTAGCCAGGTACCTTAGATCTGAGCCTGATGCACTAGACAATTTTTCTTGAGTTACAAAAAAAACCAAACAACTCCCCTCCCCCCCCTGGACATTTTGCCAAATTTTTAAAAATCCGCCCAGACAGAAATTTTAATCCTGGAAAAAAAGGGGAAATGGCAACCAGATTTGAAAAAGAGGACATGTCCTGGAAAAAGAGGACATATGGCAACCCTAACTGAGAGGGTCCCTTGGTGCTCGCCGTAGACAGAAGGAGGGGACTGACACAGAGGGCGAGTGAAGGGGGAGTTACAAGCCAACTGCTTCACCTAGACCAGCAGTTCTCAACCTGTGGGTCCCCAGATGTTGTTGGACTACAACTCCCATCATCCCTAGCTAGCAAGGCCAGAGCTCAGGGATGATGGGAGTTGTAGTCCAACAAACCTCTGGGGACCCCCAGGTTGAGAACCGCTGATCTAGACAGAAACAACCTTCAGAAGTCTCTGTGTGTCGTTTGTTCTCTAATCTGCAAATGGCCTGTTCTCTTCGTTGGCTCCCTGTCAGAGGTTTTCCGTACAGGTAACAATATGATTGACAAGCAAACCTTTTCCCACATGCAGGGCACTCTTTCCTTCCATCTCTCCGAAGGTTGCTTTGGGCTCGTAACTGTGCTGCAATTTCACATAAGTTGCCGTCCGGGCACGAAAGGGGCTCGTGACTCCTCTCACTGTTTTTACTTCCCTCCTGTTTCTTCATCCCATCCTGATTCCGCGCGTCATCCTCTGTGTCGGGACACTTATTGCCTTCCCCAAACACAGGGTGTGCTTTGGTTTCGTTGTCTGTCTCCCAGACATCCCCTCCTGAAATAAAAGAGAAAATGTGAAGATTATGTGAGTTTGGATTTCTTGGTGCAGAAAGTAGTGATCTGATTGTGTAGAGATCTTTTCTATTCTAATTCATACTAGTGGGTTCCTGGAAGGTTCTCTGTGTGAAAGAAACTTCATGATGTTTGGGTTATTCCTTCAGAGAAGCTGAGTAAAGCTGGCTTAAACTGGTTCTGTTATCTCTTTCAGTCAAGGTCATGCCATAGCTGTCAACTTTTCCCTTTTCTTGTGAGGAATCCTATTCGGAATAAGGGAATTTCCCTTTAGAAAAGGGAAACATTGACAGCTATGGGTCATGCTGGCCATAAAAGTAGGGCCAGAAGGAGCCTGGGTTTTACACTTTCTCTTTCTCTCTCTTTTCCTTCTGGTGTGGAACACTAAGTATGTTTAGTGTTAACGTTTAGTTTTAATTTAAGTTATTGCAAGTTTAAGGTAAGTCTGGTGCAACTGGGTTTCTTGTGGACAGTGCCAATCCTGAATGTATTGGATTTGCGACCATTATGCTCGTTTGCCTTCAGTAGCAGTAAAGCTCTGCTGGATGAAATATAATTGGTCTATTTTTGGGGAATCCTGCAAGTTTTTACTCTGCTAACTGTACATTGGAATCTGCTTTGGATCAATATTGAGTAGAATTTCAATGATAGATTACTCTTATGATTATCATAGTGATAACAACAAAGACTCCATCTCCTCAGAATATTGCGAAAGAACAATGTCAATCAACATCTGATGATCTCCTTCTACCGGTCAACAACAGAAAGTGTCCTTTCATACTGCATCAGGGTGTGGTACGCTGGTTTGACATCAACTGATAGGAAGTGCCTACAGAGGGTGGTGAATACAGCACAAGATATTATGGGCTGTCCCGTGAATCCGCTGGATGAAATAGCGGAAGAACGTTGCCTCAGGAGGGTGAGGAAAGTTCTCAGGGATGATTCACACCCTGGCCGGCACTTTCTTGATCTCCTGCCCTTGGGCAGAAGATATAGAAGCATGGTTAGTCGCACCAACAGGGTAGAGAACAGCTTCTATCTGTGCACTGTTAGGCTGCTGAATGAAAAGATAACAACAGGGCAACTAACTTTCGGGTTTGGTGTGTGCGTGCGTCAGTAAACGAGGGGAATTAAGACTAATAGAGCTGATTGGGGGGTGCTTGTGTAATCTCACTGTATACAAGTTGTGCAAGTGACAATAAAGTATTTCAATTTCAATGTGGAACCATAGAATTGTGGAGATGGAAAGGACCCTGAGGGTTTTCTAGTTCAACACCCTGTCAACCTTTCCTACTGCATATTATTTCATAATCCATATTTTACACTTCTCCATATTGTCCATGATATTTGCTACATTACAAGTGTGATCAAAATCCTGCTAATGTTTTCATCTGCTTACAGTGGTCCCCTAAATAAATCCTAAATTTCCCCCTTTCTTTACTGAAGATTTTGTTCCTGAGCTTTCCTGTCAGTTTTGCCGTTTCGGCATTTTATTTGGCCTATAGATTCTTAAATAAAACAAACAAGTATTTCGGGACACAAGTACCCAAAGGAGCGACTCTCTGGGTATCACTGATCTCAGAGCCTACAGTTGGTAAGGGAGGTCTTGCTGGTGGGGCTGCTTCTGGCTGCTGCCCGGCTGGCGCTGCCCAGTGACAGGGTCTTCTGAACGGCGGCTCCCCATTTGTGGAATTGCTTTCATTGTCCGTCTCCCACACATCCACCACTGAAATTGAGAGAGAATCCAGCATGAGTGGAACGTCAAATCAGCGAACAAGCCAAATCAACCGTTTACAGATTCCAGCAGAGGACAAAAAGGTAAGATACTGGGGATGAGGAATATGGATGAGATCAAGGTTTCGGAAGTCAAACGGTCTTCCGGAATGGATTACGTTCTACAACCGAGGTTCCACTGTAATTAGAATTATTAACTAGAATGTTGCGAACGCATAAAGACGTGGTGAATGTTGTGTTGGAGGAAATACGATTTAAAATTAAGATTAATGATTTATATGGATGGATAAAAGAAGATTATTTGATTAACTGGGAAGATAGATAAAAGTCTAAGCGGGAATTGAACAAGCACAGTCGATGGAAATAGAATGCAGGGGAAAGTATTAGAAGTAAAAAGTACCGTATTTTTCGCTCTATAAGATGCACCAGACCACAAGACGCACCTAGTTTTTGGAGGAGGAAAACAAGAAAAAAAATATTCTGAATCTCAGAAGCCAGAACAGCAAGAGGGATCGCTGCACAGTGAAAGCAGCAATCCCTCTTGCTGTTCTGGCTTCTGGGATAGCTGCGCAGCCTACATTCGCTCCATAAGACGCACACACATTCCCCCTTACTTTTCAGGAGGGAAAAATGAGTCTTATAGAGCAAAAAATATGGTACTTCATTATGAGCAGCAAAGGGGGGGGGGCGGAAAAGAAACATCTTGAAAGGGGGGTGGATAGTGAACTTTTAAATTTGTGTTAAATTTGAATTAATTTGTTAAAAATATGGAAAATTAATACAAAATAATTGGCAAAAAAGGGGGGGAACTGTGCAAATCAGGTTCCCCCCCTTTAAAAACTTACCAGGCTTTTTCCGTTCCCCGAAAGGGGGCTTTCCAGCTGCAAGCCAGATGGAAGTCACTTCTTTATAGAAGGGAGGGGGGTGTCTCACCCGGACGTCCCCGTCGGCCGCCTTTAAGCCCTGGTTGAAGAAGTCGATCTTCAGGCGCTTCCATTTGGCACGCAGCTGGCAGGTGGACCGGACGTATCCTTCGGCGAGCATATCGATCTGCAAGGCTCTCCAGTATCTTTCGTTGGTAGCCGAGCTGCTGCTCATGAACACCTTTATGCCGGGGCTGTGCGCTATTATGCAGAGCATTTTCTGGGTCTCCTCTCTTGTCCACCTACGGCAATGGGTAAGAGTGAGAAACTGTGGTTGTTATGCAATAAACAAACACGATAAACCCCCTTGCAAAGACTAGCTAGTTTGTGGCACCTGCTCAGTTCACCTTTGTGCAGGTAGCGAAGACAACCTTGCCAACAAAGGTCCGTATAGTTAAAGCTATGGTTTTCCCAGTAGTGATGTCTGAAAGTGAGAGCTGATCACCGAAGAATTGATGCTTTTGAATTCTGGTGCTGGAGGAGACTCTTGAGAGTCCCATGGACTGCAAGAAGATCAAACGTATCCATTCTGAAGGAAATCAGCCCTGAGTGCTCACTGGAAGGACAGATCCTGAAGCTGAGGCTCCAATACTTTGGCCACCTCATGAGAAGACTCCTTGGAAAAGACCCTGATGTTGGGAAAGATGGAGGGCACAAGGAGAAGGGGACGACAGAGGACGAGATGGTGGGACAGTGTTCTCGAAGCTACCAGCATGAGTCTGAACAAACTGCGGGAGGCAGTGGAAGACAGGAGTGCCTGGCATGCTCTGGTCCATGGGGTCACGAAGAGTCGGACACGACTAAACAACAACAACATGGCTGAGTCATAAGGGCGGAAAAGAGTTCGTGTATGAATTCGACAGTGCTTAGTTTATTTTTTGGTCACTCTTTTGTTATAATTGTTAAGATTGTTTTACAGGTTATGAATGCTGTAGTGCTTTGTGAATCCCATGATATAAATGTTGTTGTAATTGTGCTGCTTTGCTGGTTTTTTAAGTTGTTTTGCTAATACAGTGGATGCTTGGGTTGCGAACGTGATCCGTGCGGGAAGCACGTTCGCAACCTGCAGCATTCGCAACCTGCAGTGGCATGTCTGCGCACGCGCAGTTCACGATTCAGCACTTCCGGTACTTCCAGGTTTGGCGCGGTGCACAACCCGAAACGTCTGTAACCCGAGGTATGACTGTAGTGTTTTATAGACCGTAATTTTTTTACTGATGATTTGTTAACTATTCTATACGGTTTATGTTCTGTTCTGTTCTGTTGTTGCTATATATTGTTTGCAAAACATTGTTTCCCTGTATAGGGAAGTTTTTAATGTTTGAAGGAGCATCTCCACCCCCATCATTCAGCCCGGACACTGAGGTCCTCCTCTGAGGGCCTTCTGGCGGTTCCCTCACTGCAAGATGTGAGGTTACATGGAATCAGGCAGAGGGCCTTCTTGGTAGTGGCACCTGCCCTGTGGAACGCCCTCTCATCAGACGTCAAGGAAATAAACAACTATCTGACTTTTAGAAGACATCTGAAGGCAGCCCTGTTTAGGGAAGCTTTTAATGTTTGATGTTTTATCATGTTTTCAATATTCTGTTGGGAGCTGCCCAGTGTTGCTGGGGAAACCCAGCCAGATGAGGAGTGTTGTTGTTGATGCTGCTGCTGATGTCTTAAGTGTGTCTTAATTTGTTGGAAGCCGTCCAAAGTGACTGGGGCAACCCAGTTAGATGGGCGGGGTAAAAAAATTTAATTATGATGATGATGATGATGATGGAATAGGACATCTCTATTTTCATTGGAGAAATGTTGGAGAGTAGGGTACATTGCTATGAGACAGTTCAGAAGGCCATGAACACATTAATTGTAGTAGTAGTATTAATAATAATAATAATAATAATAATTAATGCATATATTATGGAAGATGTGCATGACCTTGTGCATATTTATCTGTATGATACATGCTTTTGCCTATACTCCCAATATGATGTGTGTGTTTTAAGGGGGGAGGTTGTATTAAAAAACCCAACCACAGATTGACTTATACAGTGGTACCTCTGGTTGTGAACGGGAAACGTTCCGGATGCCCATTCGCAACATGAAAAGCCTGCAACCTGATGCGCCGTATCTGCGCAGGTGCGCGGCGTGATTTGGTGCATGCACGAAGTGCGATTTAGCACTTCTACACATGAATGAGTGGTGAAACCCGGAAGTAACCCTTTCCAGTACTTCCGGGTCACTGCAGGACGCAACCTGAAAAAACGTAACATGAAGCAAAAGTAACATGAGGTATGACTGTATTATAAACTGCACAGAAACCACCGTTACCTTCAGCAGCTCCACCTGAGAGAAGATAAAGCTTGATCCACAAATCTACATAAAATAACCACTGGAAACGGGTCCCTTGAGCATCTCTAGAAGGAAAACCTCACCTGAGCCTGCTCCCACACTCCAGACATGGTATCTCTCCTATTCGGCTTTTTGTGTAGCCGTTGAGTGTTGAATTACGAGCAAATCTTTTCCCACAGGCGGGGCACTCTTTCTTCCTCTGCCTCCTACGAGTTTTGGGGTGGACCGGAACTTCATAGCAGTCGCTATCCAAGAGAGCAGCGGGTTTCGTCTTCTTCTCCTTGTTTTTATTTCCTTCCTGCTCCTTCGCTGCCCCTTGAGGCCCAACATCGGTCTCTGGGCCATTCTTGCTTTCCTCGGACGCTGGAGGAGCTTTGCTTTCGCTATCCGTCTCCCAAACATCCCCAGCTGAAAGACCAAGAGAGAAACTGGACTTGAGTGCAAAGGAAGAAACAAAACGAAGTGCGGACAACTCCATAATGTAAAGACTTACAATGAAAATGGCTCTGACTGGACATGCTTTCCAAGTCTTGCTGGGGCCGCCAATCCTGCCACAAATTAGATCCTGCTGGTTGATTTGCAGTTCATAGAAAATTAGTTGGGAAAACGGTTCAGCCAGGACAGTTGCTTGCTAGGAGAGCTGCGCCCGACAATAAATGGAAGCCAAAGGAAGTGCTAATATTTGTAATCCCAACCAATGGGTCTTTCCCCTGGCCTTGATCCAGCCCCCAGCACAGCTGATTGGCTCTTTTGTCTGTCCTTTGATTCTCCCCCAGGCCAATGGGAGATGATGGGGGCTGTGATATGACCACAAAGGCTGGGGGAATGTTCAACTCACATATTTATCTATTCCATGTGTAGATCGTTTGCTATCTGAAAGATCTCAAATCGGTTTACACTAGATAATTAAGTGTGTAAATATGTTTGTGTGTGACTTTATTTACAGTACAGTGGAACCTCAGTCATCAAACGCTTCAGAAATCGAACTTTTTGGCTTTCAAACGCCGACAACCCGGAAGTGAATGCTTCTGTTTTCGAACGCACCTCAGAAGTTGAATGGCTTCCGAGGTGCGTTTCTCCATTTTCTCCATTGCAATTGCCAACTGGCAATTGTGCCTCGGTTGTCAAACGTTTCGAAAGCTGAACAGTCTTCTGGATCGACAACTGAGATTCCACTGTATAAAATTAAAATATACATAATATGAAGCACAAGATGCTGGTTGCTCCCGCCTCTTGCAGACCCTGCTAAAAGCAACGCCAAAAAAAAAAAGGCTTTCAAATGCTGCACCTATAAAACTCAAGGCTTTTAGAAACCATGGCTTGAAAAGGCAGGCTTTGCTCTGAAACCCCTCAGTTATCAGATGGATTTCCCCAGGCCTATATCTATATCTATATGAGGGCATCCCATCATTTCTGGCCGATGTACAGACTCAAAAATATCTACAGACCTACCTGTCAAGGTCTCCTGGCCACACAGGTCTTCTTTTTCTTCAAGCAAGGAGACGAGATCAGATTTGGGCACCAGAGGCCCTTCTTTGAGGGACAATGAAGAAATATTAAGTTCTTACTTATGGTACCCGCGGCTGCAAAATTATTCAGAAACAATAAAAAGCAAATAAATAGTAAAAGGAAGGTGAGGTGGGAGTGTTGGTTGTTGGATCGGCACCTTAGCTTGCGCCTTGCTGGGTATCTATTCCTCTTGCCTTGCTTTCATTCTACCCTGATTTAGGCATTAAACTGAGCTGGGAGTTCAAGCTCTCCATCTGGCAGTGTGAGGCAGGAACCCAGGAAGACAAGTCAGCTCTGTTCCCCTCACAGTTCCCCTTCCCCTTAGCAGAGAGAAGAGCAGACTTCCTGTTTGGACCAGCCCACCACCTCCAAAGTATGGGAATGTTGAGGAAGGTAGGAGAGGATTTATTGATTAAATAAATCCCTAAGGAAGTCAGACTATCCTCCACCAGGGCCAGGGACTTTTCAGTGATGGCTCCGACCTGGAGGAATGATCTGTCCCATGAGACCAGGGCCCTGCAGGATTTAAACTCCTTCCATCGGGCCTGTAAGACAGAACTATTCCACCTGGCCTTTAATTTGAATTCACCCTGATCTTTTATTTCCATTCTCTTCCCTCCCCCTCCCCTTTTATGACGATCACCTGCTCTGAGACCCCACAGCTAATTCTCCCCTGGCCTCCTCGCTGGCCCAAGTAGGATCAATTCAGCCAGCTAGCCCTGGGGATTATCTAATGCTTATTTCCCCTGAATTGATTTTTTATTTTTATTGTTATTCATGTTTTTATACGGTATTTTATGCTGCTTTTATAATTACCTTATTTTTTACTCTATAAGACTCACTTTTTCCCTCCTAAAAAGTAAGGGGAAATGTGTGTGCGTCTTATGGAGCGAATGCAGGCTGCGCAGCTATCCCAGAAGCCAGAACAGCAAGAGGGATTGCTGCTTTCACTGCGCAGCGATCCCTCTTGCTGTTCTGGCTTCTGAGATTCAGAATATTTTTTTTCTTGTTTTCCTCCTCCAAAAACTAGGTGCGCCTTGTGGTCTGGTGCATCTTATAGAGCGAAAAATACGGTGAGTGTTTTAAATTTGTTGTTAGCCGCCCTGAGCCCGGTTTTTGAACCAGGAAGGGTGGGGTATAAATAAAAATTTATTATTATTATTATTATTAATAATAATAATAATAATAATAATAATAATAATATAATCCGTTCTCACTCACGCTAGTGAGCAAGCAGCAGAGCACTTTCCCTTGCAGTTTGTTGGAAGCAAGCTGGTGGATTTGTTAGAATCATTTAAGTTAAGCAATCCAGTCTGGATTGTTCCTGGCAAGTTTCCCCTTTTTATTTCCCTCTTAAAATAACAACAACATGGCAGTCTTGTTTAAAAGCAAGAGTAAAGTTTACAGTCGTACCTTGGAAGTCAAACAGCCTGGTTCTCAAACATTTTGGCTCCCAAACGATCGAAATCCAGAAGTGACTGTTCCACTTTTCTAATGTTCTTTAGGAAGCCGGATGTCCGAGAGAGCTTCCGCAGCTTCCGATTGGCTACAGGAGCTTCCTGCAGCCAATCAGAAGCCGTGCTTTGGTTTCCGAACGTTTTGGAAGTCAAAGGACTTCCGGAATGGATTCCGTTCGACTTCCAAGGTACGACCGTACTTACATTCAGTTCACAGTAGTATTCTGAAGACAGGCTTTATCTTGTGGTTACAGTTACATTTGTAGAGAAAAGAAGTCTCTGAGCTAGGCCTCAGACTCTCTACCTCGTGGCTTCCATCCTTTGTAAGGATGAGCCGTGTGCTGCTGGCTAAGAGCCAGCAGAGAGGAAGATGGCAAAAGAGCTAAAATGGCATGGCTGGCCCTCTTATAGGGTCTGGTAGGGTCACACCCATCTACCTGTTCACACACAGGGGGAGGATGCTCCAGAGCAGGTATGACAGGAAGTCCTCCCTGTCTGAAGCAACATTCCCCTGTGTGTCCACTCTAGGCAATAGGATATGTTGTGTTTGACTGCTTCAGCGATGATATATCCCACACAAAGGAGACCCAGGAAGCATCATCTGGTTTCTGAACTGACTCCTCATCACAACTTTAAAAAGCCATTGACTTATTGGCCAGGCCAGAAGGAATCACCTCTGGAATGAAGCTGGACCAGGCTATAGATATGTCTAGTCCAGCATCCTGGTCCCACTGGGGCCAACGAGATGCTTCATCAGGAAGCCCACAAGCAAGACCCGAGGCCGAAGCTTAGTCAGAATGGACCACTGGCTGCATCCTTCCTCCCTGGAAACATCTTAACCAGTAAGTAATGAAGAAGAAGAGGAGTTTGGATTTGGTATCGCGCTTTATCACTACCCGAAGGCGTCTCAAAGCGGCTGACAGTCTCCTTTCCCTTCCACCCCCACAACCAACACTCTGTGAGGTGAGTGGGGCTGAGAGACTTCAGAGAAGTGTGACTGTCCCCAGAGTCACCCAGCAGCTGCATGTGGAGGAGCAGGGAAGCGAACCCGGTTCCCCAGATTACGAGTCTACCACTCTTAACCACTATACCATACTGGCTCTCTGTGTTGAGAATCACAGGTGGTCTATCCAAAAAGGGGAAATGGGGTCCTTACCCAGAGAGGCCACGTTCTGGTAGTTTTCCAGCATGACTTCCTTGTGCAGAGCTCTTTGGCCAGGATCCAGCAGCGCCCACTCCTCCTCCGTGAAAAACACAGCCACCTCCTCAAAGGACACCAGACCCTAAAAGAAGAAGAAAGAATTACTGCAATATATACCATTATCCCAAGTTGTTTTTTGCTTTTTCTATGCTTTTAACGTCTGGTGTTTTATGGCATTTCTATATAGCGCTGGAAGTTGCCCAGAGTGGCTGGGGCAGCCTGGTCAGATGGAAGGAACAACAACAAAAAAAAAACAGCAACAATTCACCAAAGCAATAGCAGAAAAGCAAAACAAAACAAAAGAACAGCTTGATGGATAATAAATAATAATAATAATAATAATAATAATAATAATAATAATAATAATAATAATTTTATTTATACCCCACCCTCCCCAGCCAAGACCAGGCTCAGTGCGGCTAACACCAAATATAAAAACAATTGATTGAAATACAGCTTAAAGAAACAAGATTAAAATACAACATTAAAACATTGAAATGCAGCCTTATCTCAGTGGAAACTCAATCAAAATCTTTTTTGGGGATGAAAACGTCAAGTCTTCACCAAGGCCAGGTACCCAGACTGGTCCTACGTGGGCCAGAAAAAAGCCAGGGAAGTCCCCAAATAGGAGTTCCATCACAGAAGGAGAAAGGAAAAAGGAAGAGGGGGAGGGAATCAATTTGATTCCAAGCCAAAGGCCAGGTGGAACAACTCTGTCTTACAGGCCCTGTGGAAAGAAATCAGATCCTGCAGGGCCCTGGTCTCAAGAGACAGAGCGTTCCACCAGTGTTGAAAAGGCCCTGACTCTGGTTGAGGCTAATCTGACCTCCTTAGGGCCCGGGACCTCTAGGGTGTTGCTATTTATGGACCTTGAGGCTCTCCGTGGGGCATACCGGGAGAGGCAGTCCCGTAGGTACGAGGGTCCTAATAATAATTTAGCTATATGCCACCCATTTGAACGAGTCGTCCCAGTCAGATAAGGTCACTGGTCCACCTGGTCCAGCATCCTATTCTCACAGTGGCCGCCAAATGCCTGTGAGAAACCTGCAAGGAGGACCAGAAACAGCTGCTCTCTCCCTTTCTTCGGTTTCCAGCAACTGGTATTCAGAAGCATTGTGGCCTCTGTTGCTTCATGATTCTGTCTAATCCTCTTTTAAAGTTTGGCAGCCATCACTGCCTCCTGTGGGACTGTCTGCATGCTGTCAGCGGCTCCAGGCTGGTTGCCCAGGGAAGTATAAAGACTAATAATAATAATAATAATAATAATTTTTATTTATACCCCGCCCTCCCCGGCCAGAGCCGAGTTCAGGGCAGCTAACACCAGTAAAATTACAGTAAAAACATAATAGGAAAAAAACCCCAATTTAAAATACAGGTTAAAATGCAATTTAAAATGCAGCCTCATTTTAAAAGTAGCCCATAGATCAAAACCATAAGGGAGGGGAAACATAAGGGTCAGACTGAGTCCAAACCAAAGGCCAGGCGGAACAGCTCTGTCAAGTCCCACAGGGTCCTAGTCTCTTGTGACAGAGCGTTCCACCAAGTTGGGGCCAGTACTGAAAAGGCCCTGGCCCTAGTTGAGACCAGTCTAACCACCTTGCGACTTGGGGCCTCCAAAATGTTGTCATTTGTGGACCTTAAGGTCTTCCGCGGGGCATACCAGGAGAGGCGGTTCTTATGGTCCTTTTTTATTGCAAAGCCATAGAACCCAGCCTCCTGGATAATGGCGTTGTCCTGAGTGAATCGCCACTGCCCGTCTCTCCCACTTCCTCACTCATCATCATCACCTCCTCTACAGGTGCCGCTAAGTGCCTTCTGTCTTTGAGCTCTTTGCTCTCCTACCTTTAAGGCTCGCCGGGTTCTGGGAGATGGTGGGTCTGGAATGCTTTCTAGTGGCAACTGATCAGCCTGCTGCTGCTCTGCCTCTCCCATCATTTCCCAACTTTCCCCCTCATCTGTGACCTCCCTCAAACCCCCTGTTGTAAATCTAACCTGTCTTCCTCTTCCTCCTCCCTGGGAGGGTCAGGATGGGGACCACTCCTCCTCCTCAGCCCAGTCCCTGTCTGGGAGCAAATTCCACAGTTTGAACCATGCGCCCCGTGAGAGTTCCCAACAGAAGCAAAACAAAGCACTCCACACAGTGAGGAGTTGCTGCGCTCAGATTCTCTTGCTGGTTTCCCACAATGCATCTGGTTTCCCACCGTGAGAACAGTATGCTGGGCAAGATGGGCCAATGATCTTGCATCCTTCTGTTGCAGAAGGATCCCCCAAGAGGGATATATATTCTGGTGAATAACAGAGGAAATAATTCACTTTATCTCTAGCTGGTATAATGTGAGTTACAGATAGGTAGCCGTGTTGGTCTGCCATAGTCAAAACAAAAAAAATTCCTTCCAGTAGCACCTTAAAGACCAACTAGGTTAGTTCTTGGTATGAGCTTTCGTGTGCATGCACACTTCTTCAGATACCAAAGTATCTGAAGAAGTGTGCATGCACACGAAAGCTCATACCAAGAACTAACTTAGTTGGTCTTTAAGGTGCTACTGGAAGGAATTTTTTTTGTTTTGGTATAATGTGAGTTTGGAATGCTCTTATTAAAAGTGGGCCAAAATGTAGTCAGAACACTCATGGTCTACTTGGAGAAGACATGAAGTTTTAGGAAACTAGATAGCTAATGTAAGTGGCATCAGCCTAATCATCTAGGCCAGACAATGCTCTCATACCCTTTGACACCTAGGTGGCATCTAAGTGGCAAACTAGGAATTTAATTTCAACTTCATGTGTCTCTGCCCTAATTGTGGGTTGGTTCTGGAGTGTAGTTCTGCTCATGGAATGGTCATTCCAGGTTCCCAGTCATGGAAGAGAAGAGGTGAATTTCACTGATTCCCTATCATCATGCATCCTCCCATCTACTTTTTAGTGTAAGGATCCCTCCAGCATAAGTCCAATGTTAGAAACTCAGATACGTAAGCTGTTCGCCAAATGGAGCCTTAAACCTGGGTTACGGAATGTCTAGTCGCAAGTTGTTGGGTTTTTTTGCAAGGTTTTTTTCTAAAGCAATTTTATTCATGCGTCGCATGGGGTGCCATTTTGACTCTCGGCGCCCACCCAGGTGACTTGCGGCGCAATGTAGGGGGCTGCAGTTATACTCTCGAGTCTCACATCTCTGCACACATCTCAAACTGACCATGCCAGGTCGCAAAACCCTGAAATTGTGAGCACTGTAGGAGGAAGTCCCATTGCCTTGAAGCAGGCAGGACTCAACCGGGGGAGGCTCCTCCCACTGAAGGAGGGAAGGAACCTATTTGCATAGCCCCGCCTCTGAGGCAAGTGGGAGGAGCAACCCTCTTGGGACGACAACCTCCACTCAGCGTGGATCCTTCCCCTACCTGCGCTGGGTGCGAAGCAGCTCTTTCCACTTCGCCACAAGGAGGAAAGGATCCGGAAGGCGCCAGTGACGTTTGTCCCCTGCCTGTCAGGGTGACAAGAAGAAAAGCACACCAGCGGAGATATTTTCAGTGTTGCTTGTTTGAGAAGCTCTATTTGCTGCAGGACACAATTCAAGGCGCGACTCCCCTGAGGAGAGGCTGCAGAATTTGGTTTGATTTATATATTTGCTGAGATAAATATTTATACAGTGGTACCTCGGGTTACAGAGGCTTCAGGTTACAGACTCCGCTAACCCAGAAATAGTACCTCGGGTTAAGAACTTTGCTTCAGGATGAGAACAGAAATCACATGGCGGCAGCGGGAGGCCCCATTAGCTAAAGTAGTGCCTCAGGTTAAGAACAGTTTCAGGTTAAGAACAGACCTCCGGAACGAATTAAGTTCTTAAGCCGAGGGACCACTGAATGACGCTATTCATTTCAAAAATATTGGACTGGTTTACAACATTTATACATGAATGAAAATTAGACATCCTGTTTTCACGGTGCCCCACCGGATGCCTGTGGGAGATCGGCAAGCCGGGTTCTGCCCCTACTCTCTCCATGCCATGTTTCATCTTATAATCTTAAAAGGTAAAGGGACCCCTGACCATTAGGTCCAGTCATGGCTGATTCTGGGGTTGCGGCGCTCATCTCGCTTTATTGGCCGAGGGAGCCGGCGTACAGCTTCTGGGTCATGTGGCTACAATGACTAAGCCGCTTCTGGCGAACCAGAGCAGCGCACGGAAACGCCGCTTACCTTCCTGCCGGAGCGGTACCTATTTATCTACTTGCACTTTGACGTGCTTTCGAACTGCTAGGTTGGCAGGAGCAGGGACTGAGCAACGGGAGCTCATCCCATTGCGGGGATTCGAACTGCCAACCTTCTGATCAGCAAGACCTAGGCTCTGTGGTTTAACCCACAGCGCCACCCACGTCCCTTATTTTATAATCTTAGAATAAAAGAATTGTAGAATTGGAAGGGACCCTGAGGGTCATGTAGCCCAGACCTGTCTGGAGTGAGTGCAGGAAGTCAGGCCCTGTGACCAGTAGGACTTTGCAGGACTGGGGCCTTCCTAAGTTTGTTCTGAATAGGCAAGGTGTGGCCGCACAGGTGAGGCCGATTGGTAGCAAAAGCTGGGAAGGTCAGCATTTCCCTTCAGCTCTTTGCCAGGGCAACACGCTTCCTGCCTTGGGCTTCTTGCTTCCTGATCTTTGAACCTCGGCTTCTTGACTCCCTGCTCCTTGATCCTCGGACCCCTGACTTCATGACGCCCTCCTTCTTGACCCTCGGACTCTTGGCTTCCTGACTCCTGGCTTCTGGGCCCCCGTTCCTGCTCCCACCCCGCCATCTTGCCCGCGGTCCTGACGTCCCCAGCTGGAACTTCGATTGCCCGTGAACCGGACCTTGACAAACCTGCTGCAATGCAGGAATCTCTACTAAACCATCCATGACAGATGGCCATCCAACCACCGCTTAAAAATCTCCAATGAAGGAGAGGCCACAACTTCCGGAGGGAGACCATTCCACGAATGAACAGCTCTTACTGTCAGAAAGGTCTTCCTGATGTTTAGTCAGAACCTCCTTTCTTGTAACTTGAAGCCATGGGTTCGAATCCTGCCTCCAGAGCAGGAGAAAACAAGCTTGCTCCATCTTCCATGTGACAGCCTTTGAGATAGTTGAATAAAGCTATCACCTCTTACTTGCCCTTTCTCTGAGCTTAAAGGTCCCAAACGCTGCAACTTGTAGTTGCAGTCTTGCGGGGGCACCACTGTATGTGAAAGATCAGAGGCAGCTCGGATAAAATGCTATATGATGAAAGGAACAACTTGTAGTTGTAGTTTGGATCCAAACTACAAGAAAGAAGATTCCACCTAAACATTAGGAAGAACTTCCTGACAGTAAGAGCTGTTCGACAGTGGAATTTGCTGCCAAGGAGTGTGGTGGAGTCTCCTTCTTTGGAGGTCTTTAAGCAGAGGCTTGACAACCATATGTCAGGAGTGCTCTGATGGTGTTTCCTGCTTGGCAGGGGGTTGGACTCGATGGCCCTTGTGGTCTCTTCCAACTCTATGATTCTATGATTCTATGATTTTCTGGCTGCCCTTTTCTCAATAATAAATAAATAAAACTTTCTGAACTCTGCAGTGTCCTTTTGAGGTCCTGCCCCAAGGGCTTTCTGGCGGTTTCCTCCTTGCAAGAAGTGAGGTTACGGGGAACCAGGCAGAGGGCCTTCTCCGTGGTGGCACCCACCCTGTGGAATGCCCTCCCATCAGATGTCACGGAAATAAACAACTATCTGACTTTTAGAAGACATCTGAAGGCAGCCCTATTTAGGGAAGTTTTCAATGCTTGATGTTTTATTGCTTTATTATTTTTAATAATAATACTCTGTTGGGAGCCGCCCAGAGTGGCTGGGGAAACCCAGTCAGATGGGCAAGGTATAAACAAGGCCACTTCAGTGCTGCTAACTCGACTTCAACCCCCCCGCACTCCATTGTTTTTCAAGACAATCGGATGCCAACAATGGTTGTCGCATATCCATTTTCTTCAGCGTTTCAACTGAAGGGCTAATTTTTATTAAGAAGAACCACTAACAACTTGGGCTCTACATAATTGCACAGCCACCTGCTCCTTTCATCATATAGCATTTTATCCGAGCTGCCTCTGATCTTTCACATACAGTGGTGCCCCGCAAGACGAATGCCTCGCAAGACGAAAAACCCGCTAGACGAAAGGGTTTTCCGTTTGCGGAGGCGCTTCGCAAGACGATTTTCCCTATGGGCTTGCTTCGCAAGACGTTTCCGTCTTGTGAGTCTTGCGATTTTCCCCCCGCTCCCCCCCTTTTTCTAAGCCGCTAAGCCGCTAATAGCCTTTTAGCAGCTAAGCCGCTAAGCCTTTAATAGCCGCTAAGCCGCTAATAGCGCTAATCCGCTAATAGGGTTGCTTTGCAAGACGAAAAAACCGCTAGACGAAGAGACTCGCGGAACGGATTATTTTCGTCTTGCGAGGCACCACTGTATAAAACACATACACAAACCCCAAGCAGGACATTATACTGAAAGGACATATTATTATTATTATTATTTTATTATTATTATTAGGAGGCGGACAGAACTGCACACTGTATTCCAAATCTGGCCGCACCATAGATCTGACTAACGGCAGTGTGATTTTCAGTTCCTTGCCTAATGAACCCCCAGAATGAGCTTGGCCCCTCAAGGGAACCAGATGTGAACAGAGTCCCAGAGCAAGTCAAAAGCCCCTACCTGCAGATCCGTCCCGGACAAATTGCTCCTCTACTTCTTTCAACCAGGAGATGAGGTGTGGCCGTGGAATCAGAGGTCCTTCTTTAAAAGAAAAAAATACACCATGCTGTTTTTGCGGATTCTCTGGGATGCCCAACACCCACCCCCAGAGAAATAAGAGAATAGGCTGCTGGATCAGGCCAATGGCCCATGTAGTCCAGCATCCCGTTCTCACATGTTTTTAATATTCTGTTGGGAGCTGCCCAGATTGGCTGGGCAAACCCAGCCAGATGAGTGGGGTATATTATTATTATTATTATTATTATTATTATTATTATTATTCCCCAATGGGAAGCCCATAAGCAAGATGTGTGCACAACTGCATTCACCCTCTCCTGCAGCTTCGAGCAACTGAGATTCAGAAGCACTGCTTCTGTGGAGGCTAGTATTGATTTTTAATATTAATACTTTATCGGGGGGAAATCAATTATAAAGACCAGCAGGGGGGGAAGGGGAGGGGACAAAAATGTGTATAAGAAAAATATATATACAAAAATGCAATAGAGTCGTACCGCGGAAGTCGAACAGAATCCGTTCCGGAAGTCCATTTGACTTCTGAAACGTTCGGAAACCAAAGCGCAGCTTCTGATTGGCTGCAGGAAGCTCCTGCAACCAGTCAGACTCCACGGAAGCCCCATCGGATGTTCGGCTCTCGAAAGAACGTTCAAAAACAGGAACACTCACTTCTGGTTTTTGATCATTAGGGAGCCGGAACGTTTGACTCCCAAGGCGTTCGGGACCCGAGGTACAAATGTACTCCCCTACATTCTTATATAGACTGCTATAGTGTTATTATCCTAATACGTAAACGTAAAGGGACCCCTTACCATTAGGTCCAGTCATGACCGACTCTGGGGTTGCAGCACTCATCTCGCTCTATAGGCCGAGGGAGCCGGCGTACAGCTTCCGGGTCATGTGGCCACCATGACTAAGCCGCTTCTGGCGAACCAGAGCAGCGCACGGAAACGGCGTTTACCTTCCCGCCGGAGCGGTACCTATTTATCTACTTGCACTTGGACGTGCTTTCGAACTGCTAGGTTGGCAGGAGCAGGGACTGTCGCGGGGATTCGAACTGCCAACCTTCTGATTGGCAAGCCCTAGGCTCTGTGGTTTAACCCACAGCGCCACCCGCGTCCCTATCCTAATACATACGTAGATTTTAATAGCCTTACATTCTGCATAAACCCATTCCATCTGTTCTCACCTTTATCCAAACCAAGTCTGTAAGCAGTCTGTTCACAAGCTGCACGTGTTGTCACATTGTTGATTCATTGATCAAAGGGTATCAGATCTTTATTCTTCCAGTTCATCAGTATCAGACTGGTGTCTACCATTGTTGGCTAAGCAGCCATTGAGAGCCTTCCCTCTCCCCCGTGAATCTCTCTCATCCTCTTTTAAGTTTCGCAGTTTAACTATGCAATGTGTGAAGAAATGCTTTCCTTCCCCCCCCCCCCCCGTCACTGCTCCTCAGCCTAACCTAGAAGGGTTGCTTGGGAGATTAAAAGAGGAGTGAGAGAATAAGGCACATTTCCTCGGGTGGGGTGTGTGTGGAAGTTTGCTAGAAATGCAAGATAAAAAACAGGAATTCTCTAAATCAGGGTACCCGAACATGGGTGCTGTCTGCATGTTTTGGACTACGGTTCCCATCAGCCTGGCCCAAGACAGCCTGGCTGGCGATCAGGAATGATGGGAGTTTTCCCATTGTCTCAACAAACGTTTGTAAAAATGTTACATGGGGGAAAATATATGAGAGAGAGACATTGCACACACTTTTGTAAATCAAGAAGATAGTTAATAAATAAATAAATAAATAAGAAAGAAACAGGGAAAATAACAGAATTTGGCAAGTCTGTAAGGAGTCTATTGAAGCAGCTCCTGTACATTGGAGCTCCCTGCCCCTTGATTATTAGGCAGGAATCATTACGGTATTCTTCTAGACACCTGCTGAAAACTTTTCTTTTGGCAGACCCAGACAGGTGATTCGGATGCATCTGTTCCTAAATTTGTATTAGATGTTTCATTGTGTTGTATTTAGATGTTTTAATCTGTTTTCAATAGCTTTCAGAAGTTTTAAATAGCTTTCAGGTGTTTAAAATATGCTTTTATTTCATGTGTGTGTGTGTGTGTGTGTGTGTGTGTGTGTGTGTATATATATATATATATATATATATATGCAGGTTTTGGTGTCCTCGGGTGTCTTCCCGTGTAAAAGTTGGGGTGTCTAGGCGACGTTTCGACGAGGTCTCACTCGTCATCTTCAGGCTGGTGCTTTCGGCTTCTTGTTACTGGAACAGAGCAGGATCTCAGTGTTTGAGTTCCTATAAATACTGTTGAGGGGGTGTGGTGTATAGCCTCCAATGTTCTGGGCAGAGAGGAAGTTCCCAGGCTAGTGTGCCTTTTCTTCTTTTGTTCCTTAATTACTTGAGGGATATCTTGAGTGATTTCTTGAGTGATATCCTGAGTACCACTTAGGTGGGTCATTAGGTGTGGATTAGTTGCTAAAGCCTTCGTGTCTTGACCTCTTGAACTTTGTGAAGAGTTTTTCTGAGAAGATGGCTGTACTGCATTTAGTTGTGCTCTGGCTTGGCTTCGTGTATAGGGGCGAGCTGTGGTTTTGTGTCCTGTGCCAGCCAGATCTGTGTAGGGATTGCAGGGGGGTGCAGCATCCGGAGGTGCCACCATGGTTTGGCTACTGGATGGTGTCTGTAATTTATCTGTGGAGAGGGTCTGGGTTTGGGTCTACAACACTCTGGTGCACTCTGAGTTGCCACTTGTAGAGACTCTCATCTCCAGATGCTGCTGACAAAGCGCACGACATGTTCAGTTCTGAGTGTTAATCCCAATGGTACCACATCAGGTTACGAAGTAATGCAAAAAGAAACACCCCCAAAAACCAAGACACAGAAGAAAACAATGGCATGGCCCTCCTTCCTTATATCATAGGGCACTTACAGATAAAATTAGCAAAATCCTCCATAAACACAATATCAAAACAGCCTTTTGCACCAACCAAAAAATAGCCAATATCCTCAGAAACCCCAAGGATAAAATCCAGTTGGAAAACCAAGGGGTCTATGAAATACCCTGCAAAGTCTGCCCAGCCACGTACATTGGACAAACAAACAGACGAATAAATGCACGTATCGCAGAACACAAGAATGCCGTCAAAAAAGAAGAAAAAACTTCCTCTCTTTTCCAACACATGAAAGAAACAGGACACGAAATTAATTTTGCAGATTCCAAATTGCTCTCTAACATGGAACATCACCACAAGAGAATAATCATGGAAGCCATCGAGATAGAGAAACACCCTCACAACATGAACAAGCGTGACGACACATCCCGCCTGCCAGACATCTGGAAATTAGCCCTCCCCACAAAAACCGACACCAGATCCAGAGGCACACAGAACGCCATCACCAATCAACCACACCAGACCCAAACCCAGACCCTCTCCACAGATAAATTACAGACACCATCCAGTAGCCAAACCATGGTGGCACCTCCGGATGCTGCACCCCCCTGCAATCCCTACACAGATCTGGCTGGCACAGGACACAAAACCACAGCTCGCCCCTATACACGAAGCCAAGCCAGAGCACAACTAAATGCAGTACAGCCATCTTCTCAGAAAAACTCTTCACAAAGTTCAAGAGGTCAAGACACGAAGGCTTTAGCAACTAATCCACACCTAATGACCCACCTAAGTGGTACTCAGGATATCACTCAAGAAATCACTCAAGATATCCCTCAAGTAATTAAGGAACAAAAGAAGAAAAGGCACACTAGCCTGGGAACTTCCTCTCTGCCCAGAACATTGGAGGCTATACACCACACCCCCTCAACAGTATTTATAGGAACTCAAACACTGAGATCCTGCTCTGTTCCAGTAACAAGAAGCCGAAAGCACCAGCCTGAAGATGACGAGTGAGACCTCGTCGAAACGTCGCCTAGACACCCCAACTTTTACACGGGAAGACACCCGAGGACACCAAAACCTGCATTCCTGTACCCGTGAAAATCTACGAAAGCAAATATCTCACCTCTACGGGGAGGAAACCTTCCAGCTGACAAGAACCTACGAGAAACTAGAAATCCGAAGAGCCACCATCTTATGTGATCTCTTGTTCCTACGCAACTGCCGAGACAACAACTTAATTCCCACATGCTTCCAACTTAAATTCCACTCTAAAACCCCAGCTACCGAAAGGATCCTGAAACGAACTGAACTATCCCTAATCAGAAACGAACTACATAAGAAAAGATACCTACTAAACCAAACCAACAAAGATCTGCTCACTCTTCACCTCAAACTCTGTAACAAAATCCACCCTGCACTCTGGGACAAATGCAAACAACTAGCCGTCTGGAGAGCTGAAACTGAGACCTCACATAAGACAGACACACACACCAACAAACTCCACAAACTAGAGAAACGCCAGAAGCCCAGCCACCCTCCACAACAACCCATGAAACAAACAGTACATAACATATCAGACAGGATCCTCACCTCAACTGAAACCAAAGTACTCTCCAAAGGTTTCAACTTTGCAGTCGCCCCGAGACGCATCCCCACGGAAAACATCATATGCGGAGTCGAAGCTAGCCTAACCAAAATCAACCCAGATGAAGCCAATAAAATCAGACTTGAAGTCACCAACATCCTCTGCTCCAGCAAACCACCCAGAAGCAATTTACACAAAGAAGAACAGAAAGCACTCACCAACCTGAGGAAAGACAACAACATAATCATTCTCCCAGCAGACAAAGGTAATGCCACTGTTGTGATGAACACATCGGACTACCAAGCAAAACTATCAAATCTACTCCAAGACCCTACCTACCAACCTATAAAAACAGATCCCACCACCTATCTGGAAAAAACCACCAAATCCAAAATAAAAGCCTCTCCTATCAGTGAAGAAATCCAGCTAAGAATCATCCCCAGAGAAAAATCATCCAGATGCCCCAAACTCTACGGCCTCCCCAAGATACACAAAGAAGGAACACCACTCAGACCAATAGTCAGCTCCATAGGCTCACCTCTACAAAATCTCGCTAAATTTCTCGCTAAGCAACTTCAGCCCTATGCAGAATCCATCTCTTCACACGTTACAAACTCCTTCCAGTTCATAGAAACAATAAAGAAGCAAAACCTACATCCCAATGACCTACTTGTGAGCTTCGATGTTGTATCTCTCTTCACACAAGTGCCCATTAATGAAGCCTTGACAGCCATTCAAAACAAATACAATCCCCCCGAATACATCCTGGACCTGACCAACCACTGCCTAACCAACACGTACTTCATCCACAATGGACAAAGATACAAACAGATAGAAGGAGCACCTATGGGATCACCACTCTCACCGGTCATCGCAAACCTGTACATGGAACACTTTGAAACCAATGCTTTAGACAAGTCAGAACACAAACCCAAACTTTGGCTCAGATATGTTGACGACACCTTTGTAATTTGGCCACACGGGAAGGAAAAACTAGATAGCTTCCTCACACATCTCAACAGCCTACACCCCAAAATACAATTCACTATGGAAATAGAAGCCAACAACCAACTTCCCTTCCTTGACGTCCTAATCTACAAAAAACCTGATGGCTCCCTAGGACACACTATCTACCGGAAAAAAACACACACCAACCGCTACTTACATGCACAATCACACCACCACCCTGCACAAATAAACTCCGTAGCCAAGACTCTCATCTCCAGAACCAAACGCCTGGCTGACAAAGACCACTTGACAACTGAGTTACAGAATCTCTCCAATGTGTTAATCGCCAATGGATACCAGCAAAACAGGGTTACGAAGCTAATGCAAAAAGAAACACCCCCCAAAAACCAAGACACAGAAGAAAACAATGGCATGGCCCTCCTTCCTTATATCAAGGGCACTACAGATAAAATTAGCAAAATCCTCCATAAACACAATATCAAAACAGCCTTTTGCACCAACCAAAAAATAGCCAATATCCTCAGAAACCCCAAGGATAAAATCCAGTTGGAAAACCAAGGGGTCTATGAAATACCCTGCAAAGTCTGCCCAGCCACGTACATTGGACAAACAAACAGACGAATAAATGCACGTATCGCAGAACACAAGAATGCCGTCAAAAAAGAAGAAAAAACTTCCTCTCTTTTCCAACACATGAAAGAAACAGGACACGAAATTAATTTTGCAGATTCCAAATTGCTCTCTAACATGGAACATCACCACAAGAGAATAATCATGGAAGCCATCGAGATAGAGAAACACCCTCACAACATGAACAAGCGTGACGACACATCCCGCCTGCCAGACATCTGGAAATTAGCCCTCCCCACAAAAACCGACACCAGATCCAGAGGCACACAGAACGCCATCACCAATCAACCACACCAGACCCAAACCCAGACCCTCTCCACAGATAAATTACAGACACCATCCAGTAGCCAAACCATGGTGGCACCTCCGGATGCTGCACCCCCCTGCAATCCCTACACAGATCTGGCTGGCACAGGACACAAAACCACAGCTCGCCCCTATACACGAAGCCAAGCCAGAGCACAACTAAGTGCAGTACAGCCATCTTCTCAGAAAAACTCTTCACAAAGTTCAAGAGGTCAAGACACGAAGGCTTTAGCAACTAATCCACACCTAATGACCCACCTAAGTGGTACTCAGGATATCACTCAAGAAATCACTCAAGATATCCCTCAAGTAATTAAGGAACAAAAGAAGAAAAGGCACACTAGCCTGGGAACTTCCTCTCTGCCCAGAACATTGGAGGCTATACACCACACCCCCTCAACAGTATTTATAGGAACTCAAACACTGAGATCCTGCTCTGTTCCAGTAACAAGAAGCCGAAAGCACCAGCCTGAAGATGACGAGTGAGACCTCGTCGAAACGTCGCCTAGACACCCCAACTTTTACACGGGAAGACACCCGAGGACACCAAAACCTGCATATATATATATGTATATATATATGTGTGTGTGTGTGTGTGTGTCTGTGTGTGTGTAAGTGTAATTACAGAACTGTTTGCTGTCCTGGGCTGCTTTTGGGAAGCAGGGTGGGATATAAATTTAATAATAATAATATTATATATATATATATATGTGTGTGTGTGTGTGTATATATATTATAATAATATAATATAATATAATATAATATAATATAATATAATATAATATAATATAGTATAATATAATAATATATATGAATGATGGGAGTTGTAGTCTAAAACATCCAACGTGGAGGAAGGCTGTTTTGATCTATCGGAAGAGGGGGAAACGGGATTCTTACCTAGAGACTCCACATCCCCATCATTCTTCAGCATGACTCCCCTGTACAGAGGGTTCTTTGGCCTGGACTCAACAGAGTCCACTCTCTTTCTTCCTTTTCCTCCTCCTTGGTGAATTGAACAGCCACCTCCTTTAAGGAAACAGGCAGCTGAAAGAAAAAAAATCACACAGTTCGTATCGTATCACAGAACTGCAGAGCTGGAAGAGACACATGATGGGTTACCCAGTCCAACCCCGTTTTGCAGGAATCACGGCGAAACAATTTAGCAGCTTATGAAAAGAATAAAACAACTGTTTTTAGATGCAACTATCTAAAACGTTCAGGAAGTAACGATTAAAACCAACGATAAGCTGGAAGCAGGTTGAAAAACAGACATCCACCCTCAGCAGGCCTGATAAGGCTCACCTAAACGAAAATATTTTCAGCAGCTGCCAAAAAAAGTACAGTGAAGGCTCCTGACTGGTGTCAAGTGGCAGGTAGTTCCAAAGTTTGGGTGCTGCTAAAAGCATTCTTTTCATTTAAGGGATGCCAGGAATAGTATTTGTCACCTGCATATCTTTGCATTCTGAAAAAGTACTCCCTGGCGTTGCATCTAAACCTTACATTTGTTTAATATTAAGCCCATGTTTTCATACAGCCATTCCACCATTTTCCTGGGCTAGTTTATGTAAACTTTTTATAAAAAAAAAACTAATAAAGAAGCAGTAGTATAATCTGGCTTGCATTCAACTAACTTTTGCATCCCCTGAATGGATTAATCACAACCAACTTCAACCCCTTAATTTCAGTGGTTCTACACCAAGTAAACATTAGTTGAATCTGAACAAAACGTTTACACCTGGTGTGGGAAAGGCACATTATTGAAGGGTGGGCACATATATTTTTAAAGGAAACTACTATTTTTGAGGCTCGCTGACCTCCCGCAAAAGCAAAAAATTGACCTTTTCCTGTTAGGCAAAGATCATAAGACGACCTGGATGGTCGCCAGATTCTGTGTACAGATCTGTAGGCGCAGACCATCCTCCGACCCAAACTAGTTAGTTAAGAAAACCCCCAAACTCGGTTCCCTGAGTCATCTCTCTGCCCTAGCTTATCTTAAAGTTTTAAGCTTCTATACGCTTATCACATTTTTAAATTTTAGATTTATTGTTGTACATTGTTTTAAATGTTTGTTTTCCTTCTGGGATTGTACCCCCAAGTGTGTTTTATAAGCTGGTCTCTGACCATAATAAATTATCTATCTATCTATCTATCTATCTATCTACTTTTCATTTACAGAGTTATAATCTGCAGTTTCGTAAAAATATATCAAGGTGGTTGGTAGAAGAACATAGCATGAGTTTGCAGGATGATGTCAATGGCCCATTTAGTCCAACATCCTGTTCTCACAGTGGATGCCTGTGGGAGAACCATGGACAGGATCCAAGCATAAGAGCCCTCTCTGTTCCTGTGGCTTCAGACATCTGGTACCCAGAAGCATCCCTGCCTCTGGCCATAAAGGAAGATAACAGCAATCCTGGCCACTAGCCATTGACTGCCCTCTCGTCCTCTGAATTTTTCTCATCTTTTTTAAAGCCCAGAAGGACTTTTGTGTTTTTTCTCTCTCTCCCGAATCTTCCAACATTCCACGAGTTCTTGCATTAGGAGAGGCAGAGGAAAAGCCTTCTTCCTCTGCCCCGCTTTCTCCATGCCCCGTGTGGTTTCATAAGCTTCCTGCCGCCTCTTACTTGCTTTTTCTCTGAACGGAAACGTCCCACTTACGCCGCAACCTTTCTGCGCAGGGCTCTGCTGACCAGAGGACCGTATTCTTTCATCCCTGCGAGTCGTGTGTCTGCTGAACTGCAGAGCCTAGCAAAAGCCAAGGGGAGGATGACATGCCAAACAGCCCCTGCGACTGCCAACAGCTGGAACAGGTAGGCCTGGAGATGCAAACCCTGCCTGCAAACCCTGGAGAGGCGCTGCCAGCCAGTGTGGGCAGCACTGGACTAGACAGACGAATTGCCTGATTCAATATAAGGCGGAGCAGTTGCATGAAGCCCCGCTGTCAATCCCAGGCATCTCCAGGGAGAGAGACCCCCCCTGCCTGCCTGCCTGCCTGCCTGTCACCTGGGGAGGACAGCTGCCGGCCTGTGCAGACAGTATTGGGCTAGGCTCCGACTCGGTATAGAAGCAGCTTTGCAATGCAATCCTGCTTCTGGTCTGGAGTGGGAGGAATATCCTGAGTGGGGGAGGGGGGGAAGAGGAGGGGGGCTCCTTTGCTCTGCAGCGAGGAGCAAAGAAAGACCCCCCCCCAAAATATGGGTGCTCGGTAGGAATTTCCAATTCCGGCCACCCCCCCTCCCCGCCCTTGTACCGGAAATCATTCCCCTTCCTTCCCTAGCCTTTGTCCTCCATTCCTCGGCTCCCCCCCTTTCCCCAAGCCCCCTTTCTTCGTCCTGGGGGGCTTCCCCTGCCCCCCAAATGCCCTTTGCACTCACCGGGCGCTCTCGGGGAATGGGGCGGGGCTAGCGCAGCCGCGCGTGGGAAAATCCGACGCTCCTTTCCCACGCGGGGGCCGGGCCGGAAGCGAAAGTGTTTTTTCCAAGGCGTACGCACCCCCCCACCCCTGCTCGCCCCGGCTGCTGCCTGTCTAGGAAGCCCGCCTTTCTCCCTTTAACCCTGAGATGCTAAGCGAGGGTGTTTATATATAGCTTAGCATCTCAGGGTTATATATATATTTTGTATATATTCTTTAAAAAGGCAGAGCTCAATTCCCCACGCGTTAAAGCCATAACTTGCATTTCTAGAGGGGTATTCCTGGAGGAGAAAAATGCACTTTCCCTCCCACTCCTCACTCCGCAGCACACAGTTAAAACTTCTTCATGCCGCACAGCGGGGGTCCTTTTACCTTTTTTTACCTTAAACTGTGGGACTCACTGCCACAGGAAGTAGCTTGGATAGCTTTGAAAAGGGGGTCCGACAAATCCATGGGGGAGAGGGCTAAAGGTGGCTGCTAGCTGAAATGGATCAACATAGCAGGAAGCAGCTATGGTTTTGAATGTCGGGGGGCGGGGGGCGGGGGCGCACAAGACACTCTTCTGGGGTTTCCACCAACTGGCCTTAGAAAGCATTGCAACTCCCCTGGATCCCTTTTTATAAAAATTGGTGCTCTAGTTATCTCCCGCTTGGACTACTGCAATGCGCTCTACGTGGGGCAACCTTTGAAGGTGACCCGGAAACTCCAATTAATCCAGAATGTGGCAGCCAGACTGATGATTGGAAGTGGCCACCGAGACCACATAACACCAGTCCTGAGAGATCTGCATTGGCTCCCAGTACGTTTCCAAGCACAATTCAAAGTGTTGGTGCTGACCTTTAAAGCCCTAAACGGCCTCGGTCCTGTATACCTGAAGGAGCGTCTCCACCCCCATCATTCTGCCCGGACGCTGAGGTCCAGCGCCGAGGGCCTTCTGGCGGTTCCCTCATTGCGAGAAGCAAAGCTACAGGGAACCAGGCAGAGGGCCTTCTTGGTAGTGGCATCCGCCCTATGGAACACCCTCCCTTCAGATGTCAAAGAGATAAACAACTACCTGACATTCAGAAGACATCTGAAGGCAGCCCTGTTCAGGGAAGTTTTTAATGTGTGACATTTTAATGTATTCTTAATCGTTGTTGGAAGCTGCCCAGAGTGGCTGGGGAACCCAGCCAGATGGGCGGGGTACAAATAAATTATTATTATTATTATTATTACTACATCGACTACTTTCCAGTCCACGAATGTGTGGGCTAGACCTGAGGGAAAAGTTGCATATTAAGAAGTGCAATTCCCCACAACGACACTGCGAGGTGGATTACCATGGGTAGGCAAACTAAGGCCCGGGGACTGGATCCGGCCCAATCACCTTCTAAATCTGGCCTGCGGACAGTCCAGGAATCAGCGTGTTTTTACATGAGTAGAATGTGTCCTTTTATTTAAAATGCATCTCTGGGTTATTTGTGGGGCATAGGAATTCGTTCATTTCCCCCCTCCAAAATATAGTCCGGCCCCCCACAAGGTCTGAGGGACAGTGGACCGGCCCCCTGCTGAAAAAGTTTGCTGACCCCTGGATTAGGCAGAGAGCCATAGCGACAGGACCAGAATCACCAAATGAACTTCATGGCAGAGTGGAGATTTGAAACCTTGTCTCCCAGGTCTTAGACCGTCAGGCTAACCACTACACCACACTGCCTCTTTCTAGCTGAGTGCCTGTTACTGAACTTTGTAGAGAGAATCGACCCCCTTCACTTTCTATTCTGATCCAGACATTGGGGGGGGGCAAGCAAGGGGGGAAGCTTCTTCCCCCCCCAATCCAAGTAAATAAATAAAAATACTTAAGTAGAAATTGTAAAAAGTTTTTGACAGGTTTTCTGAGCATGGGGTGAAAAGAAAGTAATTTAGAACAGCTGTTGTTGTGACATTTCATTCCGAATCTGCTAGAGTTGACAGAGCCCGGAGCCATCTTATGTTTGCGATGGCAAGTTGTTTTAAACTGCTTTCAGATTGTGTTTCAATGTTGTAACCCATCCTGGGACCTTAGGGTGAAGCATGGACACAGCCAGGGTTATTTATTTTCTCAACAACAGTTATTTTAAATTCCGGTGTTTTTCTGTGTATAAGAGTAGGTTTTTTAACCAAAAATAAGGTTTGAAATTGAGGCTCGTCTTATACACAGGTAGTGCTGAGGGGTGTTTTCTTAATTTAGATAAAGGTAAAGGGACACCTGACCATTAGGTCCAGTCGTGGCCGACTCTGGGGTTGTGGCGCTCATCTCGCTTTATTGGCCGAGGGAGCTGGTGTACAGGTTCTGGGTCATGTGGCCAGCATGACTAAGCCGCTTCTGGCGAACCAGAGCAGCGCACGGAAACGCCGTTTACCTTCCCACCGGAGTGGTACCTATTTATCTACTTGCACTTTTTGGGGTGCTTTCGAACTGCCCAGTTGGCAGGAGTAGGGACCGAGCAACGGGAGCTCACCCCATCGTGGGGATTTGAACCACCGACCTCCTGATCGGCAAGCCCAAGAGGCTCAGTGGTTTAGACCACAGCGCCACCAGCATCCTTTCTTAATTTGGACTCCCCCCAAAATAGGGGGCGTCAGACATGGAAAAATGCGGTACTTTCTTTTGACCCCAAGTGCTCAGACAAAAAACCCTGTTAAAATTTTCAGTCATTTGAAACCTAAGAAGTTAAATTTAAAAGAGAGAAACTTTTTCAACACTTCCTTCTCAATTTCCAATGCAGTTTTTCTGTGCATACTCAGTAAGTATTGGAGCCTCAGCTTCAGTATCTGTCCTTCCAGTGAGCACTCAGGGGTGATTTCCTTCAGAATGGATAGGTTTGATCTTCTTGCAGTCCATGGGACTCTCAAGAGTCTCCTCCAGCACCATAATTCAAAAGCATCCATTCTTCAGCGATCATCCTTCTTTATGGTCCAGCTCTCACTTCCATACATCACTACTGGGAAAACCATGGCTTTAACTATACGGACCTTTGTCGGCAAGGTGATGTCTCTGCTTTTTAAGATGCTGTCTAGGTTTGTCATTGCTTTTCTCCCAAGAAGCAGGCGTCTTTTATACGTGTAATAAAAGCAAGCACTGCCTTTTTCTAGGAAAATTCTCGCCAGGAAGGGAAATCTTGGTATCTCGGCGAGCATTTCCATTTCAAATATTCTGATTATTTCTACTTTTAGTTAAGTATTTTTATTTATTGACTTGATTTTTTTTTGGGGGGGGAGCAGCTGCCCCCCCCCAGCTACGCCCATAGGGTGAAGGGTGGATAATATACAGTCCACTTCCCTATTCTCACTGTGACTGAGCACAGTGAGACACAAAGCTGCAAGGCCTTGCAAAGAGAGGGAAGGCAGGCTGGGTAAATGATTACACTCTTTCCTCACAAGAACCCGAATCATAAAGTGCCCCATTCATATTTGCTTACCCTTTTGTTCCTTGGGATGTATCCAGACAGCGGGTGAAGGCTGAGATACCTCCCAGAGAAAATTGCGCAAAGAATTCTTTTATTTGGCTGCTTTTTTACTGGAAGCAGGTAGGTCTGTGCCAGGGGTCAGCAAACTTTTTCAGCAGGGGGTCCCTCAGACCTTGTGGGGGGCCGGACTATATTTGAGGGGGGGGAATGAACAAAGTCCTATGCCCCACAAATAACCCAGAGATGCATTTTAAATAAAAGCACACATTCTACTCATGTAAAAACACGCTGATTCTCAGACCGTCTGTGGGCCGAATTTAGAAGGTGATTGGGACAGATCCAGCCCCCAGGCCTTAGTTTGCCTACTCATGGTCTATGCCAACTGTCTTGTCTTTGAAGGGAGGCTTGCCAAGTGCTCCTCAGCCCCTGGAAGTTGGACAGAGGGCATGTTTATCTGTGGGCGTTTTATACATTTTTTAAAATAAAAAATCCATGCCACCACTGGCGGAGGAAGAGGAGTGTGGGGGGAGTGCAACGCCCCCGGCAGCCTGATTCCAGTGGGGCTACCTTTGAAGGTGACCCGGAAACTACAACTAATCCAGAATGCGGCAGCTAGACAGTTGACTGGGGGCAGCTGCCAATATTTTTTTTTTGAGATATTTCTAAACTCTGACGCTTCTGCTTCCTTGCTTCATTGAACAGCCCCACCTGTCCATCCTGGAAGAGGGTGAAAAGGCCCTTACAAAAGAGTCACTGAACACCTTAAGAGGAGAGCTGTTTCCATACTACCTTTTATTGAGCGTTCACTTCTTTGTGAGAAGGCAATACAGCGTTGAGTCAAGCAATGGTTGCCCCTCCTCACCACTTTCCTTACTGCAAATAGCCCAATTTCAGGGTGAGTTTG